TAATTACGATGCAAGGTTTGTAAGTCCCTTCATAATCAGTTCTATTGTAGAGATTTATGCCTTAGGGGTAGTTGGTTGTCGTTTCCATCCAGGGAGATGCGGTGGCTCAGTGAGTCAGACGTTGTCTCACTAACCTGGAGGTCCCGTGCACGATCCCTTCGTTGGCTTGGAAAATTAATCGGAGTTTTCCAGCGTGATTCCCCCTTGTCATTGGTGCAGGACGGAGGGCGCGTTAAAGAACCCTTGAGAATTGGAATACGAAATAAGAGTAGGCCGTATACTGCCGCTGTCCGGGCAATATTTTCCTCGCAGCACACTGTATGGAGTATGCCCGTCTTTATTAGCCCAGAGCGTTAAACCCCATTTTATTTCTTTTCTTTTCCGTACGCTTCCATGTGGTGTCATATGACAGACAGTTTTTATTATTTGCCTATTAAAAGTATAGGTTACCCCTTTAAATGTGTATTTAGTTATTCCCTAGTAGTAGTTTTTTGGGGGAGTTTCTTTCGCTTAACCAGGCGTACCATTGGCCATGTCTGTAGTATATGGCGATGATCTTGTCTTGGTCGCATAGTATATTGGCTAGGCACGCCATTTGGTAGAAACATGCAAAAAGAATGCGTCTAGTGACACTGATTGATTGAAAACTGTGTACCCGTTGAGAGTACTAACTGTACACCCTTCTTTCATACGCCCACACAGCAGCTTATCAGAAAGGAAAACTTGTATTACTATGTCTACCAAATTTAACAAGGAATGCCTTTAAGATATCTGATCTCTGTCGCGCTTACAATCATGAAAGCAAATAGTAAACAATGCTGTCTCTATCGCGTTTACAAGGTTTTCGGCAAAGGGGAGATAATTCTGGAGCAAAAAAAGTCAGACTGCGTCGCATATCGATATTGTTCGTCCTCGCGTGAATGCAATGCTTCACTTCACAAGGTTTTCGGCAAAGGGATTAACTCCGAAACCAAAAGTCGCGGGACGCTGAATATCGATAGAACACAATGCTGACAAAAATGCCAATCAGTGTGGACAGCTTTTGGCAAAATAAGGGGCATACCTCTACAAATATTTACCCAATTTGCCGAAAAGGAACAAGACTCCTCGTCGTGTCATAATACAAGTAGCCGTTATTGCGCTGACAAGAACAAGAAGTGTGGGTGGACAGAAAAGGTGCCTTATATATTGCAAAACATCCGATACGTCTTCCCATAATATATAACACATTTGTTTTGTATTTAAAACAATGAGCATGTTACCGCTAATTTTGGTTTCTGAAATGCGGGTATTAATTGTGGGCATAGCTCAGTTTGTTATGAGTTTACCTATCTATGTTATTGCTACATTTCACGTAAATTGTTACTCGTAAAGGTATTAGTTTTTCCTATTTATATTTCATGTAGCACATAGCCGATTATTACTCACAATATTATTATACAACGTTTGGGAAATATTCCTTATTGTATGTCTGTTTTTTCATTTTGAGTAACGGGTTGGATGGCCGAATGGTTAGCGCGAGCGCGCTGTATCATAAAGTCTGTAATTGAATCAACTGACGTGGTTTTGATTCCCTGGTTGTACCGTGATAAGGAGTAGCGTCGCCTGTCCAATCCCTTGGAGTTTTCTCCGCTTTCCTCCAGCTGCTAAAGACCCCTACGCGCAAGCGAATTATTGAAATAAAATTGAACCATGTTAGTCCCGAATGTGTCGAGTGGACGTTAACCTCTCTCTCTCTCTCATTTTTAGTAATAACGTTTTTGTTCTTTGAACGCACGTGTATGTGCTTATGTTAGGTATTCTAAGATCAACCTATGTGAATTCTGCCCCCTTATCCTTTAGTATAGATCATTTTTTGTCTTGAAATCAAATTTTGCACGCATCACTTTTCACGTTATTTTGCCTGTAAAGGAGTCAATTATTATTCGTTTTGCAGTTGTTGTTGTTTTTTTTACCATTGGATGCCTTTTGCCAATTTTGACTAGGTCAAACTAATTTAACATTTTCACTGTCACCGGAAATGACATCATTTGGGCAAAAACTGTATTTTTAGCCATAAAATGAGATATTTTATTCAAAGGATTCTTGTTTGTAATATTTTTAAAATTATGATATTTGATTCAAATTAACAAACAGAATAAACCCATACGATCATACAGATACCACAAAATGGTTTCTAACTTGTACCACTATAAACCTCAGAATGCCTCGTTCGGTATGTTTGTCCAAACGTTGCAAAAAAGTGTTAAAATTTTTGCCACAATTTTGCCACGTTGTAACGTGGTCATAAAATGCCACTTTTGTCTGGAGTTTCAAAACGTAGCTTTCTTTTAAATTGCCATGTTTTTGTAACGAGATATAACTATTAGTGGTATTTACTATCAACAAATAGAGCCACGCAAATTATGTTTCAACCATCACGTGACAAATCTACAAATCTGCCCGGGCAGCGGTACTACGGCTTACTCTTATATCGAATTCCAAATGCCAGGGGATCATTTGGAATTCGATATAAGAGTAGGCCGTAGTACTGCTGTCCGGGCAAAATTTCCCTCATAGCACGCATTATATGGCGTATGCCCGTCTTCATTAGTATAGTCGGAACAGAACAGTAGGACTTTAAACCCCATTTCATTCTATTTCTTATTGGAAATTATCCGGCGCGCGCCAGATATTTTTTTGTAATTTTCCACCAACAGACAGGTGGGGTTTAACGTCTACTCGACACAAACTAGGTCATTTCGGGGCTAACATATGCTTACATTTTATTCTAATAATCCCTTGTGTTGTGCGAAGGGGTAATAAGCAGTAGGAGGAAACCAGAACACCCGAAAGAAAACGGTTGAACAGGCGACCCGACCCTCCTTTTGCCACGTACAAGGAGGGAACCAAAACCACGTCAATTGATTCAATGTCAGACCTTATTTGGCTACCCAACGTGGTTCAGTTAATAAGACGTTGGCCTACTATCTAGGTGGTCCCGTGTTCCATCCCTGCGTTGGCCGAGAAAGTTCCTCGGGATTTTCCGGCGTGGTTCCACCTTGTCAATCAATGGTGCAGGAGGAACCACGCTGGAAAATGCCGATGAACTTCCTCGGCCAAAGCAGTGATGGAAAAGGGGTCCACTGGATAGCGAACCTACGGTCAACGTACAGTAGTTGGGATGGGACGAAATACCGAGGTCTGGTGTCCACATTGGCATGCACGTAAATGATCCCCTGGCATTTGGAATTCGATATAAGAGTAAGTCGTAGTACCGCTGCCCGGGCAAACTTTTCCTCATAGTACGCACTATATATGGCGTATGCCCGTCTTGATTAGTCCAGTAGGAGCAGAACAGTAGGACTTTAAACCCCATTTCATTCTATTTCTTATTGGAAATTATCCGGAGCGCTAGTTATTATCCGGCGCGCGCCGGTTATTATTATTATATTATTTTTTTTTGCGTCCCTTACCGGGCTCCGTAGGTTTGTCTTATTTCACAGTTAAATTATATACATGTAGTAAGAACCTAATTAGAACGACATAATGGGGAATTTAACAGTCATCTTAAACACCTCAATACACACACTGAGCGGCATGTTTGATCTACACTCACTTAACTTTAACCCAAACTTTAAATCTTTCAACGCTTTAACAAGTAGGTGATAAATGATTACAACCACCAGTTGTATGGTTGTGTGGGCCTCTAAGATGTGCAGTAGAACGGATATGAGCAAATCCATTATAACAAAAAAAATATAGAATATTTCCGAATGAAAACTTTTAACCTCTAAATAAATACAAAAAGCAATTCAAAATAAAATTTTAAAAAAGTAATTTCGAAAAGTAAAACCAAAAGTATAGGATCCACCCCAGTTTCAATAAAATCACGCATTATAGCTATTTTTATTTATTTATCAATCTTTGCTTCTTCAAATTCAATTTGGTTCGTCGGGTGTAACAAGTTATACATATTTATTTTATATAGAGTGCCAATTTTTCAATCGGGGAATAAATGTTTCTAAAGCTTAAAGATCATAGTTAGTTTTATACATCTCTCTACCATAAATAATAGCTCGAGCATTTCACAGAATATCTGGATTTAAGTATAGTATTTTATGGGGTAGAGTTGATGTGGAGTATAAGTCGAATCATCCTATTTTACTATTTTCGACCTCCATCCATACACAAGTCGAAGCGGTTTAAAGACGAATACGAATTAGATCATACATTGATCTGACAGGAAACAATAGCAATAATAATGTAAACAATATTGTGCAATATCATGATATGCCGAATTGGCGTCGTGATACTCGTATTGATTAGGGCCTAACACATAATTCAGCTGAACAAAACGCACATATGGAATTCCAACTGCCAAGGGATCTTTTACGTGTAGGCCTACTCCCTCCGTCCTACACTACTGACAAGGGGAAACCACGCCGGAAAATCCCGGGACCTCCACTGGCTCCAGGCTAGCGGGCCAGCGTCTTACTCACTTAGTCACCGTGACTCCCCGGATGAAGACGGCCATACGCATAGGCCTATTATTAATATTGTGTACAGTAGGCCTATGCTACGGGGGAAATTTTGCTCGGACAGAGACACTACGGCCTACTCTTACATCGAATTCCAACTGTCACCGTCTGTGGGATCTTTTATCATTATGTTCCTATGCTCTGAAATAAAAATTGTAGGCCTGTGTAGTAGGCCTACTACTAATAGTAGTTCTAGCAAAAACTAAGTCAAATTTGTTTCCATGGAAGAAACACATTTTTTTAAAATCAGCTTAGCAAAAGGCATAACTACTATAGGCCTATTATAATAAGTTGGTGTGAGTACAAAGTTTCATAGAGATATATCGTAAACGGTTTATGACATATTCTCAAGAAACGAAACCGGGGACCATAGAGCTACCGACTGCGCGGGATAATAATAGCCTATTGATGTCATTTGGCGGCATAGCAGGTTGCTATTAGTAACCGTCATGTGATCAATACTCCCAATCCCATCTGTCGTCAAAGCAAAATGGCGTCTAAAACAGGAATTCTTCTGATAATCTAGCCGATGTTTTAACATTTTCTCGTTATAGCATATGCAAGAGGAATACATTAGAAGTGTTCGCAATCTTCAAATATTAATGGTGTATAAATTTACAAATTGGAAGATGGAAAGTTAGTATGCCAGAGAAAATGACCGGCTCAGCAGGAACGATTGATATTGACGCTGTCATTGAGCACCTTCTTTCTGTCAGAAATTCACCCAATAAGCAAGTTCAGCTTCCAGAGAGCAAAATACGACAGCTATGCGTTTTGTCAAGAGAAATATTCCTGGAGCAACCAATGCTTTTAGAATTAGAGGCGCCAGTTAATATATGTGGTGATATTCATGGTCAATATGAGGATTTGTTAAGGCATTTTGACGCTTGTGGATACCCACCAGACTCAAATTACTTATTTTTGGGAGATTATGTTGACCGAGGCAAACATTCCTTAGAAACAATATGCTTGATTTTAGCTTACAAAATAAAATATCCTAACAATTTCTTTTTATTGAGAGGTAATCATGAATGTGCCTCTATTAACCGAATCTATGGGTTTTATGATGAGTGCAAGCGAAGATACAATATAAAACTGTGGAAAACATTCACCGATTGTTTTAATGCTTTACCTATAGCAGCTTTAGTTGAAGGAACAATCCTTGGTATGCATGGCGGGCTGTCTCCTGATTTAAATGATTTACAGCAGATTCAAGAAATTGCCCGGCCCTTGGATATTCCAGACCAGGGGTTGACATGTGATCTACTTTGGTCTGACCCAGATGAAGATATCACTGGATGGGGAGAAAATGACAGAGGCGTATCTTTCACCTTTGGACGGGACATTGTCAAAGACTGCTTAAAGAAATTTAGCTGCAGTTTGATTGTTCGTGCACACCAAGTCGTTGAAGATGGATACCAGTTTTTCCAGAAGAGGAAACTGGTAACGCTATTCAGTGCGCCTAATTATTGTGGAGAGTTTGATAACGCTGCAGCAGTTATGATGGTAGCTCAGGATTTGACCTGCTCATTTAAGATACTACCCCCAGATAAAATGAAATCCATTGCAGTTGAAGGAAAATCTAAGAAATAATAACCCCTTCGGTCAGAGAAATGAGACATTTTGTCAGTAGAAATTGTGTATAATAAGATCCTTTTCTAAAAAAATATTTCGAAGTCAAATGAAATACAACCTATAGCTTTCCTAAAGAATAGAAGTTATGATAAAACTGTACAGCATTTGTGTGAAAAAGGACACCTAATTTTTTTGATTTTTTATTTATTGTACATCACTATCAGTTATCTAGATCTTATTAACTTGCATAATGGCAGATCATGGGCTCTGGCCCATTGTTAAACCATTAAAAACCAAAAATACTCCACAAAAATGAACCCCCCTGCTCTTTCTAGATAAGCATTAGATGCCAAGATACCATCCGGTTAAATAAGAATACTTTTAAAGGATAAGATCAGAATAGCTGTGAATGAGTCAATTTTATTGTAAAGCTTTGTAGATGCAAACGTAAAGTTATGTTAAGGTAAAATGCCTAGCATTAACAAATAGTCTTGAAAAAAAAAATATTTTTCTTGTCTCTCCTAAAGTTTCAAGTCTATTTTATGTTCATAATCACATCCCTTGGTATAGAGATATTTCTGTGGAGTAGAATTTCCATATTCAAATAAATTTTTAATTGTTGCATTTTAATGTTAATAATATATTATAGCCTATACAGTATTGTTCATTTTAGGGTTTTACCTACTACTATTTATTATAGGCAAATTATGATAGCCAAGCTCAAAAATTCTCCAACTTCGTACCTTATTTATTATTTTTTTTAACGGTCATTTCATTTTATGTAAGTATTTTTTTATGGTTAAATCCATGAAAAAATGTAACATCCACCATCTGCCAAATCCAAATAAACATTACAAAATATTTATTTTGATACCCTTTGTAACATAATTAAGAGTAAGACCAATATTCTTCATGTTTATGTGATAAAATTTGTGTAAGAACATAAGAATTAAGTAAAGTTTGTTATTTTTGTTAATTTAACTTTGCCAGATTGTCGTAAATTGTTTAATTGTTAAAATTAAATTTAGTTGTTGAAATTAAATTGTTTTTAAAAAATACAAAATTGTAAAGTTTTAATTGTCCCCCATCTTTCGAAGAAATGGTCTATAAATTTTTGGGACACTATACTCAGCTAATTCAGCTAGAATTTTCAAATTTGGTGAAGGTGTTTATTAGGTGAATCCCTTGACTGAGTTTGATGATAAGCTTATATTATTACATCAATACTTTGCCCAAGTTCGATTACCTTGACTATGTTCGATGATAAGCAATTTCAAGACTTTGGAGCTCCACAAATTTTATTCTAATTCAGTCAATAATGGACAATATTTTATAAAAAGATAATATGCAATGTGTGTCATCTAATTACTTTTTGTTTTTTTTGGGGGGGGGGGCGATGTGTCTCACTATTGGCTTTTAAAATGGGTCTGTGTGTCTGTCACACTTTTTGGGACACATTAACTGATTGAGCTAGGTGTAGCTGTTTATTAGGGGAATGCCTTGATGAGCATTTTCTGATCAGAGTAAGCAGAGATAAAAAATTTGATTGCTTGATGTTTTGGGTCACAATAACTTTAGTTCTAATTAAGTGAGAGTGAATAGTTTCATTACATCAACACTTTGACTAAGTTCGATAATGAGCATTTTCTGCTTGTGATATGTAGCGATAAGCAATTTGATTGGTCAAGACTTTGGAACATAACAACTCTGCTTTTAATTGAGGTAGAATGTTTAAAGATATTATGTAAGATTTAGATAAAGAGCTGGCCATTTTTGCTATAATAGTTTAAAAATAGATAATGTAAAATGAATAATTTCAAAATTTCATTCAAATTACTCTATTGCGAGCAAAGATATTAGCCTTTGAAGGTTTGACAAGACGAGTGCAATAATTTCAACCACTGCACTGGTTGTTCGAAGCTAAGTCTTGCTCCTCCATTTTTAGATTAAATCAAAAACATGGCTGAACTGTTCTAACCTATTTAATATCGGAGAAATCCGATGCCATCGAGAGTTGATTATGGCCTGGACAAGTTAATTAATGTCAAATTAATAATTTAGAAAACATTTCAGGCCTAAAGAAAGACCTGCAATAGGCAGATTTAGCTCTTGTATAATGTATGTTTAAACTTGATAATTTAGGTGAATGTCTAGACTGAGTTAATGATTAAAATTTCCCACTAAAGCTAAGCAATTTCGTTGTCGATGATTTGGGACAACATAACATTGATTCTAACTGATGAAGAGTGATGAAACTTCGTATATAGTTTCACTACCGGGTACTTCAAAACCTTGACAGAGTTTGATCATGAACATTTAATGCTCAGACTAAGTATAGATAATCAGTTTGATTACTCAATACTTTTGAAAAAGATAAATGCGCAATTAATTAATATCTGTCATCTATTCATTTTGGGATTTCGGTGGTGGACATCAGCCTCACTGTTGGTTTCTTTTATATTTACAAGCCCAGATGAAATGTAATTATTGTTCATACATTGTCATCGCCATCTGTCAACCATTTAGGTTCATCAAAAGTTATCAGTTGATGATTATACGCATGAAATTTATAAGCATTGCCCAGATTACTGAAATAAAGAAGCCTATCGAATCTAGTATTTAGTAACAAGTTATCGGCTGATCAGCTTGAAATTTATCTGCATTGTCCATTGTTCAGACATATGAAATGAAGAATCCCAACCAATTTCTGATAATTATTTGTATTTCAAATGATATTCTAGTCTACATTTTTCTCTTTATTTACTAAAAGATTCACACCCTAACTTTTGTGGACAAATTTGTTTATGATTAACAGTTTTACCAACTAAAGGTCCATGGCCTTCTTGACTGTATGACATCGCCCATTTCTGGCTATGGAGCAATATGATTAAAAAACCTTGAAATTGGAGCCACAAGTGTTTCTCAGTCACACCCCTGAGTGTAATCAATAACATTGTTTTCAGTGGAATATATGTTTATTAAACCGATGTAAATTAGTTAGTAGCATTTAATGCTGCCTCACACACAATACTCAATACATCAGATTATAGATCAATAAAAGGGAAATTCCGCCATCTTTTTTGGTGATTTGTAATAATTATTCAACTTCATATTGCATTGGAAGTTGAACAGTCCAAACGAAAAAAGATGTCATGAATGTATAGATAGGTACGGTAGAAAAAAGAAATTAAATAAATTTTAATTTTATATGGTGTTTATTTAAATGATATAAGATATTTGTGAAATTGGACAATTTGTACATATCAATAAAACTACAGTATATAATGTACATAAATAAATTAGATTTTAATACAGACATACATATTATAAAAACAATAATCACTCACAGATCAAAGTAAAGGAGGGACTGGAAATTTGATACACTGAGCAAAATATAAAAAATATCCAAATAGGGAATGTAATTCAGTTGTCAAAGGAAGAAAACATTTTATTTTCATCATTAACATACCTCACGGCTTCACTATAAGTAAAACACTGTTCTTGGGATCCACTGACACAACCATGTTAAAGCGAGTTTGAAAGGTACATGTAGATGATAAAGTTGCAAGCCACATTAACCCTGCCCATTAGTGTCCCCTCCCATAGTTCATTCCAATTAATGGTAGTAGCAATAAAAAAAAAACAAGACTCAAGAAACATTTCATCCATATATTTTGGTAATTCATTTCATAGTAAAAGAAGTTCCTTTGATATCTTCTGTGTGTGAAAATGACAGAATAAATTTTAGAATCAGTGTTTAAGATTAAACTTAAAGTTTGATATGTAACTGTTACATATGGTAACATCACTTGAGCTACTTGTGCAACTTTTTAAAAGAAGGGGGGTCTTAAAAAAGAAGCCTTTGCAGGACGGAATTATATTCTTTCAATGGTATTGTATTATTATCACAAGTTTAACTGTTTGTGTCATTTTATCGATTACCATTTTCCCATGCTTCATCATCAAATGGATCAATTTGTTGTTGTCGATATACACTCTTGAATTCTGGACCCAACATTTCCAGATCTTGCTCATTTTGAATAACACCCTGTAATAATAATAAGTTTAAATTAAAACAAAGTTGTCAAATAAAATGCAAAGTAATGCGAAATGAATATACTGAAAATTTAAGTGATATTACTTCATTCCAAGTGAAGTTATGTCTGTCTGGAGAATAGCAGTCTTGATTGTCATTGCTACCATTATCAAAATAGTAAACAAAGTTTCGACATCCATTTTTGAATTAAATTATTGAACGACAATATTGTTTCCATCCATTGAAAATCACAAGCATGTCTAGAGAGTTGAATATGGTCTTGTCACACTGTAACCCAGGTATCGTTTAATCTTGTGTATCTAGCACTAATTTCTTTCACATTCGTTTAATATCAAATCTTTGTTTAAAAATTTGTACTTCTGACCAGTTTAAAGCTGACCATTCAATTTTGATAATGAGTGTCCAATTTACAAGTGTTTAATTTCTCAATCATTGTTAAAAAATAAACAACCCAATTGATTAATGATGTATAATGATTAATTTTTGAACAGTGATCAGGAAATTAATTACTTGTAAATTGGACACTCATTATCAAAATTAATCAGTCAGCTTTAAACTGGACACATGTACAAATTAGATGATTTTTGGTGATTTTAAACAATTTTTACGAATTTTTAAACAAAAATTTAATATTAAACGAATGTGAAAGAAATTAGTGCTAGATACAGAAGATTAAACGATACTTGGGTTACAGTGTCATGCTCTTACATAATGCATCTTTAATGGACTACAATTATAAGACCTTGCTCAATTCTATCAGTGTATTTCTGACTTTAATTGCAGTAGAGGAAATTAGTTCCTTTCTCGAGATTCGACAATATTTAACAAGCAAGACTAGGCAGAATCACAAAATAAATAGATGACACTCCTAAATATAAGCAGAAAATACTCATCATACCATGTTTCATCACACTCATTCAAGTATCAAAGTTATCATATTCCAAACAATCAAATTGCTTATCTCACCATCAAAGTTAGTCAAGATATTCACCTAATGAACATTTACACCAAGTGTGAACATTCTACCTCAATTAGAAGCAGAGTTATTGTGTCCTATAATGTAAGAGTTCCTTACTGTCTTCGAAAGACACTGAACAAAAAAAAATGAAAATGCTACTTTAAAAGTTACAATACCTTTGGCAAGAATCCCAACAATTTTGTGGCATGCTCTCGTAACAAACGCTGTCTTTCTTCTTCAATAATTTGTCTACGGAATTGTTCCATTTTGGATGCTTCATTGACTTCTGCGATTTCTTTTTCCCTGGCAAGTGTATAAGAGCGTCTCCTCTCTTCTATTAAAGCTTCTACTGATCGCTTGTGCTCTAATTGTTTCATTCGTCTTTTCTGGGCATTCATCTGTTCTATTCTATCATCCTCTGCAAACTTGGCCAGCGTTACTTGTCGGAATATTTCTTCTTCATCTTTCTCAGCTTGTAATCGTAATGCCTTGAAATGCATTTGTCTTGCATGTGTTTCTTGCAAGTCAATTCTCTGTCTGAACTTTCTTTCGACTTCCGACTAAAATGTAGAAAAAAAAACAAATATTGAAGCCCACAAATAAAGGTTAAACATGATTATGCTCAATCAAAATTTTGGTCCCCCCAAATTATTCAAATCAATCTAAACATTTGTTTCTTTGATTCCACATCGCCATATCTACGTGTCTAAAATAGGGATAATTTTATTATCTTAGTTTGTACTTTGATCTGAGCCAGTTTATTCTTCTTGAAGTTTTTTCTTTAAAAACTTTATTGTATGTGCGTAATTATATTTGAATGTATCTAATTTACACAACAGTCTTTACATTAGCTCTTTAACTTCAACGAGTCGATGGAATTATATTTTTTTTCATTATACTGCTGGCAAGACGGTGCAAGCTGCCTGTTGACATTGTTATGAAAAAACAAATCCCATTGGCTGTTAAATACATAAATGGTGAAAATTGGCCAACCGTGCTGTTAAGATCAAACAACTTTTATTTCCAATATCAGTCCACCTTCATTAACCCGGTTAGTGGAGAAATGTAGGACAATAAACTGCATTTCATCTCATTTCCCAAATTACGCTATGACTTTTTCTGCGACCTTCACATTGTTTAGTGATTAACTAAAATTGTTGACTTAGCAGGCAGTAATTCTGTTGTCTAAGTAGTCAGTATTTAGTTTCCAATTTCTATGATGTATTTTTTTATTATTTCTGAATCATGGCATGCCATATTTTGATATCTATTATTGATATTTTTTGGAATTACCGGTATCTGCTCGAAACCTGCGGGGGGGAAGGGTATATTGATTTTTAGGTAATTTATAATCTTTGAAGTTTCAAATTTAAAAAAAATATCTTACAGATTGACATTCATTAGAAAGAAAAAGTAATTACCGGTATCAGAAATAAATTAAAATCTGATTGGCGTCTACTTCTTCCTAGTGCCAACATTTATTATACATAACATATATTGGTAATCAAAGAACTATATAGCTGTTGTTATTGAAATCACTGAAAATCAACAGGTTTCTTTTTCTCATGAACATTAAACTCTAGAGTGTGCACTTGTTCAAGGGCCATATCTCCGAGGGTAATTATTTAATAATTAACAATATATATTTATATCAATGTAGGCATATAAAAAATGCATATATTTCAATTGAAATGAAATGGGGCTTATTTAACTTCTAACTTTCTGCAACAACTGGACTAATGAACACAACATATGCTGTATAGTGACGTGCTATGACAGAAATTTTGCCCCGACAGAGGCATTGCCACCAACTGTTCACAATAAATTTCAACTGAGTCAAGCGTTTTTCCATGTGCCTACACAGAACCTTGTTTTTTCATCCCATCCAAACGACTAAACGCTGTTCCTTGCCAGGCCCTCCATCCTGCGGCACCGACAAAGGGAAACCATGGTGAGAAATCCTGAGTCAGTGCCATACTCACATAGTCACTGTGGCTCCCATATCTGAGTATAAATTCAAAACTCTTTAAATAGGATTATGCCAAATACTTATTAGTATTCAACTCGAACAAGTTTTACACAGGTTACAGAAGCAAAAAGTGTATTGTATATGAATGAAATTACCAATTCTTTTCTTCTTTCTCTTTCTTCTTGTTCTTCTAAATATAACTCCATTTGTACTCTTTCCATTTCTTCTCTTTCTTTCTCTCTGGCTGCAATTTTTTCTGATAACTAAAAAGCAGAATTTCATGAATATTTATTACAGCAAACCCTTTTAACACATTTACTTCTTGTATTAATTTATAAATTATTTTTTATAAATATGTAAAAATTATAATAAAATACAGTATAAAACCTCACCTGTTTTTGTACTCTATCCATAGCCTCTTCTTTTGTCTTTTTAGCCTGCATTTCACCAAGTTCTCTTTCTTTTTGAACATTAGCAAACTCCAGAATTCGTCTGTTTTCTTCTTCCATTCTATGTCTCTCTTCATCTTTCCACATTGAACGTGACTTCTTAAATTCTTCAATGTATTGTTGTGTGGCCTTTCTTTTATGCATCTGTCTTTCCATTTCTCTGTAATAATAAAATATCAATATAAATAGTATTTGTTGAATGAATGAAATATGGTTTTATGGCAGGTCAGCTCCAACCGGGCTATATTGCGCTAACATATGATGAAGTATACGAGATAAATTAAATAATATCACATTAATATACATCAATAAAAACATGTATCACAGTCGATATAATTAAAATTAAATAACAAAATTTAATATATATATATATTAATAATTATAATATAAATCATGAAAAACAAAAATATATACAAATTAAAATTTTCCATAAAAATTTGTCTCTTTTAAAAAATTTAGTGTTTTACAATATAGCTCAGGTTGAGCAAATAATTGAAGAAGTGACTGGCATCGGTAATAATTTGATCTAATATCTTTGCATTCAATCAAAATGTGTTTAACAGTCAAAGGAACATGACGGTGTTCACATTCTGGCTGAGGCTCTCACTTCAAGATGAAAATGTGTGTTAAAAAAGTATGACCTATGCGAGAACGACACAAAACAACTTCAGCCCTCCTGTTAGTTGGATAGGAGCTTGGCCAATCTCCTAAGAGAGGCTTAATGTGATGAAGTTTGTTTGTGCCTGCAAGATCCCAAGACCGTTGCCAGCCGCCATAAATGAAAATATTGATAACATATTTAAAATCTTTATAATTTATAAAGTGTTAAAAATTTGGATATTGGAAGATCTAAAGCAGACTTGGCAGCCGAGTCTGCTTGATCATTCCCTTTGATATCCATATGACTGGGGTGCCAGCAATGGACAGTGTCCTTGCTGATGAACTCGTTTGATAGCAGACTATAAATGTCTGCTACTAATGGGTGATCAAGCTCTTTGTTACTAATTGCTTGTAACAAGGACAAAGAATCAGAAAAGATAATGTGTTTTAAAACTGATGAGGATTTAATGAACTCCAAGGCTCTGAGAATGGCCAGCAGCAGGTGAAAGTCGTAGCAAACTGGTCGAGGATGGTGTCACGGTAGCCGAAGCTACCCAATCACCATCTTTCGAAACCATCTATATAAATTGGAGCATAATCGCCATATTTATATCTTAGCTCTCGAAAGAGAGACTGAAACACTGTCGAGCTAGTATCTCTCTTTTTATGTTGCGTAAGATCGAGATCGATCTTTGGGGGAGATATAGCCCACGGTGGAGTCCTTAAGAAAGGGGTATTCGCAATACTGTCAAGGCTGATACCAGCCTCAGACAAAAGGGGCTGTATGCGAATAGCGAATGATGGAATAACTTTAGTCTTGAGCAGATATAAATGCTCATGATAGGGTCTAAATTGGATGATGAATTAAATGAAAATGTACTAGCTAGAGAATTAGCAATATCAGGAAATGTTGTTAAGATGGTATTATCAACATTTAACCTTTAATCCTACGAATCCTATCCCATACCGATTTTGATGTTGTACGGGAATTGATCCTCGAGACGTAACCTTGCCATGAAGACTTCTTTGCTTGATGTTAGGTTCTACGGGCCTTCGCCCAGACCATCTGGTATGCCGCAATATTCTCCATGGAAGGATGGTTCTTTAGTCGTCTTACGATACGATCACACTCTTTTAGAGCGGATTTGCAATCGTCATTATACCATGGTTTATTGAAACAGTTTGGTTCAGTCATGGTTTTTGGAATCGCCTGCTCGGCTACATCTTGAAGAATTGAAGTGAATAAGGCCATGGGCTCATCTGCATCTTCTAACTCCTTTGTATCAAAAGAGAAGAGACACAATGACTCAAATAGAGCCCAATCAGCCTTATGCAACTTCCACCTCTGGGGTCTTTCGAAGTATTTGTTGAATATTGGTGGACCCATAGAGATCAAGATGATATTATTTGATAATCTCCTGACACAATCTTGATAGTTAGGATTTAGGACAGTAAAATGTAATGTTGTCTTGATGCTAGCCCCACAATCCTGTTCTTGCTATACTAGACATAATTCATGTCAGAGAAATGTACTAAGACACTCCGTAGGTTTTTCAACTGTTAGTGTTTCAAACGTTAAACAGAATACAGCTCAGCAGACCAAAGGGAGATAATTCAACATCATTTTTGAAACAGAAATCTTGTGCCTTGTGCACAGTTCACCAATTATTCCAACGCTGGTCACCCACGATGTACATGTAAGGGTGAAAGTTACTTTAATATTTCTCTTCCTTTCCCTTTTTCGCCCTTATGCATGGCTTTTGTTAACTTTTTGATGCGAGAGAGAAATGGGGCTTAACGTCCACTCAACACAAACTAGGTCATTTCGAGACTAATATAATGGTTCAATTTTATTTCCATAATTCACTTGTGCGTAGGAGTCTTTAGCAGTGGGAGGAAACCAGAGGACACCGGAGAAAAACCAATAGGTCGGACAGGCGACCCTACTCCTTGTCACGTACAACCCGGGAATCGAAAAAACGCCAGTAGACTCAATGACAGACTTTATGATACAGTGCGCACGTGTTAACCATTCAGCCATCCAACCCCCTCCCCTCTTTTTGATATAGAATCAAAGAAAAGGTTTTGAATTAACATTAATTGAAATGGTTTTGGTAATTTTGAGCTGGAAGGATAATAGATTTAATAGGTTGGTTAGGTTCAAATTTAGGGCAGACAGTTGCATGTTTACTTGTTTGCTACTTACAGTATGTGTTTCTCAAGTTTTCCATGGTGACCTCATTATACCTGTTTTTAAGAAAGAGGTTGCCACAAGTTGCTCCATCTGTGGTAGAAAACGTTCAACCCCACAGAATATTGGGAAAAATTAGAGCCGGTCAAAGAGACGATAATTAACATTAAAGTCAATAGGAATTTTCTGGTGGTCTATGTCCACATGAGGCTAACCATTTTAACAACTAAAAATAACATGGTAAACCAATGCTCCTGGCAAAATCCTGAATTTATTTACCCCAAAACATTAAAAATAATATAAATAGTTAATCAAATTAAAGATTATTCTTACTTTTGATCCTCTTCATAAATCTTTCGAACTATTTCATCTATCATCAGTTTCTCTTTCAAGAACTCTTCATAAGCCTTTTGACGATTTACTTCTTGTTCTTCAAGTTGTCTCTCTAACTCTTGTTGATAACGTACTTGTTCATGGTAACGTTCCTTTAATCGTTTTTCTTCCTCTGCACTAGCTCGCTCATGTTGTTTCTTCATTTCACGAGCAATTTCTGAATCACGTTTCATTTGTTCATATTTCAAGACATCTTTTTCCGCCAACTGAGCAGATCGTTCTTTATTCATATACGCTGCTTTTAACTTTGCTTCAAGTTCACGCAATTCTAAACTGTAAAAAGAATGAATCACTCATTTTAAAGGAATTTCAGTTATAGTTTAGTAAATAAAACAGATTAATTCTGTATAAACAACTCTTAGAAACCATTGTCAAAGCCTTAATCTTTGAAATTTGTTTGTGTGTGGTTTACAACACTGAAAATTTTGGTAATTAACCCTTTAAAAATTAGAACGCCCCAAACTGAACTTAACTAGGGTAATTTCGACCGACCAAAACCACCCCGTCAAGTGCACAGTTGTGGTGCCAGCAAAAACTAGTAAATAGTCCTATAATACAGACAGCTATTGCCATAAGTTGGGTGGTTTGAGGTGGTCTTGTCCAGGGATCTACCGGTATTAATATATCACTTTTCTTTAATTTTCTTCAAGGAACTGGTGTACTCAAAATTTACATACATGTACCAAGTGCTAAAGGGTTAATAACACTATTTTGTAGTATTTAATAAAAGGACTACTCCCAGTCATTCCATAAATTAAAATTAAATGTAGTCCAGACAGCTCGATAGAATTGCCTTTCAGCCTCTTTTCAATTATCTGAATTTTCGTACCTATGATGAATAATTGCATAGCATATACATGGCTCGAAATGTTCAACTGTCTACTTGTCGCCGACAGGCGATTTATACGACCAGGTAGCATATATTGTGGACTAAATTTTACTTGATGTTCAGTAAATTGACTTAAGACCACAATATTAACGTCCACGTCAGGTACATTTAATTATTTGTTTCTAAATGCAAGAATTAAGCATGGAAATACCGCAAAAAGCCGCCATTTGCACTGTTTACATTTCGCTCTGTCGTAGAGTTACTCACACAGTTGGAAGTAGCCAATTTTATAACGACGAATTTCACACTATCTATGCTTGTTTTCATCTGCTTGACACTAGTTCAGTAGTTTATATAGCATTACGAAGTACATGTATTATATCTAAATAAATTAAAACGCATCCCCCAAGTCATCTGACCTATTCTACTGTATTGACACCACAGTAAATATAATGGTGGCTGGAATGGAAATGCACACGGCTCGTTGTCTGGTGTATTGAATCATTTAAAAAGTATAAAATCTTCGAGTTGCTGAGGCAAAGCAGATACAAGAATTTTTAGTCATTCCGATGTCGAAGAAATAAAAAAGTTTCATATTATGATATTTATATGGAGCAATTTACGTAAAGACCTAAACAATTTAAGGGTGTTTGTGTACCTACATGTATGGATAATGTGTGATGTAATTGGTCTTTGATAATTGAGAGTGACAGGTTAGTTATCAAAGCGACAGGTATGAAGAAAAGAGACAGGTAGCTTTTTTAAAAACATTTTGATGTCTGATATAGATATAAACTATTTCCGTTTGGCTGCATCTGATACGATTTGAAAGTCTTCTAAATGAGAACAAGGTCCAAAATAAAAATATATGACATTGCCTTCAAGCAGATGAGTCAACAATTTGTTTGCAAACAGATAATAGTAATTTGGCAAGGTACATAATAAAGCGACTTATCGGGAGGATGATTCACTATTACATACCTAGATTCTCTGATCTGTTGCCTTGTTTTTTCATCTCGTAATTTATGTTGATTTAATTGTTGTAATTCTTTAGCTAACCGATCCTCTTGTTCAAACTGTTGATTTCTTATAATTCTGTCTCTTTCCGCCTAAGAAATTGCAAAAAAAAATATCAAAAATTAAAAATCATTTTAATGTTTTTCGATGTCAACATACAGTCTACAAAATAAACAACAACATCAAAAATTTGCTCTTTAATGCAAGTTATACAATTTAATATCTCGTTTATTTTGACATGAAAAATCAACTAAATTAAATTTGAAGTCGTGTCAGTAAAGACCTTAACTTACTTTCAAAATAGCTTCTTCCATTTCCCGTTCCTTTTGTTCCAGTTGTTGTCTCCTTAAGAAACGCTTATCATCTATTCTTTCTTCACGATTCATATTTGATGTTAACATTTTTTCCTCGGATAATCTGTGTAATGTATCTTCTCGCATCTCCTCCTGCCTTCTAGATTTATCTAATTCTCTGTCACGCATGCTAGTTTGCTGTCTGCGTACAGTTGTCTGAAAGATATATAAATGTTTACATGTTGAATAATGCAGAAGAACTTCATTGTTACTGCAAGCTGTATACTTTCAATTGCCTTCACTTCATGAAAATCTTACCGGTTATAGTGGGAGGTCGCGTCAGTGGACATACAAGTCACTTTTGACCCTATGATGTCAGTCAATCGATGAAACAATCAGCATTGGCGTTTCAGGTGGTTATTTGGAAATACAACTTTTGCTTTGATTTGTTTTCCATTGCTAAGAATGTCTATCCATAATTACGTGCATAAGAACTTGACTCTACAGACCATTCGATTGGCTGTCCCTCACATCAACCAGAATGTGGGTTGTTTAACAACTCTTCTAGATCCAAGGGTAGTGAAAACAAGGAAAACAAAATTTTGAACTAAACAAAATAGGATCTGTTGGTATTGCCAGGATTTGTCTCTGTGCTGAGGTATGGCTTATTAGCCTATTAACTTTTTTATAATTACTGCATACTCAGGACTTATTTCTCTAGATCAGTTTTAAAGTTTAGCACAAAAACGAACCAGGTGAAGGCTTGTAATATATTTATTATCATAGACCTAATTGTATCGTTTTTTTCTCGATCTTCATCTCGTCATTATTATTATTTTACAAAATATTTTTAAAACGTAAGTGACACTGTCAAACGATGGAAAGACTTAGAGAATGTGGATACAATAAATAGCCTCAGTAAATACATATAATTCATTTTGATCCGACATTGAAAAATATAGATTTCGATAGACTAGAATCTCAATCGACATTTAACATTAATTTCTTTTTTTTTACTATATTTTTATATCACCAAACTAGGCTAAAAATGCTTCCACTACTGATGTCTTCCGCCTTACTCCTACTGTGGCTGGCCCTACGGAGTTCCTTTGCACAAGTTTTTTAGTCAAATGACTACAAAAAGGTTACTGGCCTATAGCTCTCTTAATTTACACATAAACTGACCCAAAACTGTACTGCACATAGCTCAAAGGAGCTAAATCGGTAATATTTTGGAGCTAGAAATTGGCACAAATGGGTCACAACACATATAATAGGAATTTATATAAACTGTTTTACATTCAATCGTTTCTGTTTTACTGTGAATTGTCAACAGTTATGTTCGGCGATATACGCCAGAAGTCACAACCGAAAGTCAGTTTCTAGTGTCTGGTTATTCCAGTCAACATCGATAGTAATTTGTATTTATTGTGCATGCCCTACAAATAAGAATATGGCATTACCGTTTGATATGACATGTGGAAAAAATGTCTAGCCTCATTCTTTGAGCACCTTGTTACAAATTGCACTGAAACACATTATAATTTATGGTACACGATTCGTGTACCAATGGTAAAATGTTTATTTTGACTGAAATATTGGATATCAGAAGCCCATATTTTCAAGGTAAGATCCCAACACCAATGCTGATTTAAATTGCAAAAAAAATGGCGTTTTCAATGTCGAAGATTTTGGATGATATTGGGTTACAGACTTAGCTACTTATTAACATATAATAAACCAATTCCTATTGAAATAAAGGTGAAGCCATACCACATAGTTATATGATATGAAACCCAACTGCTACGTGAAATTTCTCGCCTACCGAACTTATTTCAACTGGCCGGTGTCATGGCGGCTTTCAGATTATAAGAAACATCGCTTTGAAAATGTAGAACGCATTACCACAATGGCACAAAGTCAAAGAAAAACTGTTCGGTAACTATTTTAGTTGTCCAGTCTTCACTATTTGTGATAGAATTACTCATTTCAATACAAACTGTAATGATAAGTGTTGACAATTGTACGTTTGAACCTATTTAAACTTGCGTAAGGAGTCTTAGACTGTATCATTTGTGTGTTTAACGATACATTTAATTGTAGCTACCGCCAAACATTGAACCAAGTCACAAAGAAACACTCTGTTTCTTAGATCTAATTGTATAGCATACATATTTAAAGTTAATTTTTAACAATATACATTACCATATTGACTGTTACTTCTGATACAACTAAAATTAAATCTAATATTCAATTCTTATTTCTTATTATCTCTTAACAGTTTCCAGGACATAACATTCTCCCTCTGTTTAGACACGATGAATATTAATCCACAATCCGTTGTTAGGGGTAACTGGGTTGTAGTGTATCAGTGAAAATGTCTATTCTCTAAAGTATTATACTGGTGTCAAATCTAATTAACAGTATCCGGATCTTATTATAAACAAATTAAGCTTTTTAGTCTACTTTATGGTAAAATCAGCAAAAAAATTAGATTAATAAACTAATGAATGCCCCTCAACCAATAATGAGTTCGTCTGTAGCTATAGCGCAGTAAATTTGTTCTACTTGATTTTATAGTTCAGCCATGCCAGGTTTTCGTGGTCAATTCGCAATTCATGCGTTACGGAGTCTTCGGAGAGAAATTGTTTAGCCCGAAACTAGTAAAAGAGGAAATAAAATGAGCTTCCAATTTTTTTTCACAAAAATCAAAACCAAAAATTATTTTAACACTAATCCCAGGGTTCTGAGTTCTCTTTTTTTTGTCAGCTGTGTTTAAGACCTAGCCTATAGGAAAGCTAAACATCTCAAATTTTTAAACAAAAACGTGGTCTGGTCGAATGTAAAGATCTATTAACTTACGTTTATCATCAATTGATTTGAGTCCTGAAACAATATAAATTAGAGGAATTTTCTTCGAAAAGTACTTTATGACTTGTGTATTTTTTTTTTACATGTTATAATAATCATTGTTATCATCAATAGTAATAATACATAATTATTTTAAAAACTTGAAACGAAATTATATATTATATATATATATTAAAAAAAAAAAACTTGTCCATCACTCGTTTACTTACTCATAAAGATATCTATACATTTTGACCTTTAATTTGCACACCTTTACTATCGCGTGTCAACGGGTTACGTTTGAAATCTGGCATTACGTGTCATTTTAATTAGGCTAGTGTTTGATATATGTCTCTAATTAGGCGAGTCTTTAAGGGCTAAATCTATTTGTTATGGCCAGCTCAATTTTCGTCACGATCGCTGAGATCTATGGGCCAGATTGCCCAAAATCGTGATTGGACGGTTGATTAGCAGCATGCCACGACGAATTGCTGATATCTGAGGATTGGTGGAGCAATTACTCATTATTAAGACAAAAATCAAAAACGTCCATTTTCACTTTTGACGGTGTATTGCGAGTGAAATAGGGCCGTCCAGATAAGCCGCCCATATGAACTGTTTATGTTCATGTGTAGGCAATTGGCCTGTTATTAAAGGACAATATTGGTGCCAGTCATTATCACATATGTGTTAGAGCTGGTTAAACACATTCCAAATATATTTTTAACACAGAGATCATTGCTACGATAGCTGAGTAATACAGGTTTCCCGTATCGGAAGTGACGAACGCCAAAGGAAAACACGAGTCGCTGCTCTATATAACTGACTGAAGCGACGAGTGATAACAGATACATGGGCAAATTTCTACTCACTAATAATTCCTTCCAAGACCAAAAGTTGTTATATGGGACTGTAAGAGGATATCTGACAATTCAATAAAGTAATTGAATGTCATTAGATAAGAGAACCCGAGAAAAATAGAAATAGTCCGTACATTTCCTTGTTTATATTCATTCTATACCTTATAAAAACAAGGTAATGCACGGACTTTTTCTGTTTTTATTACGTGTTCTCTTATCTAGTGGCAGTCAATTCTTTTTATGAATTGTCAGATATCCTCTCGCAGTCTCACACAACAACTTTTGGTCTTCGAAGGAATTATTAGTGAGCAGAAATTCGGCCGTGTATATGTTATCACTCGTCGCTTCAGTCAGTTATATAGAGCGGTGACTCGTGTTTTCCTTTGGCGTTCGTCACTTCCGATACGAGAAACCTGTATTACTCAGCTATCGTAGCAATGATGTCTGTGTTAAAAGTATATTTGGAATGTGTTAAACCAGCTCTAACACATATATGTGATAATGACTGGCACCAATATTGTCCTTTAACATACACTGGTTACCTCTAATAAAAACAGCAGTGCATTTCCGCAGCTGTTTCTGAATATCCCTACTTTTTTTTTAAATATACGTCATTGATGCCAACAGAATCCGTAGAATCTCTCACCTGCTGCATACGCAGCCGGATTGAAAATAAATTTAGCAAACATACTTCTAGCGTCAATATATTTATATATTTACCACGAAAAGAATGGTAAATTTTTATATTGAAATTGGCAAATTAGGACATAAATTATTAATGCATAGTATGTATTGTATTAGATTTACACAAAAATAAAATAACCCCAATAGAAGTAGCCTAAGTGCACTGCGTCATGCGCATAAACACACAGAAACCAATGAAACAACCGAGAGGATCGACATGGTTTCCGACGTGGGCCTGTCAACTTGGCAAAGAGAAGTGTCTCGTCATAATTCGGATGGTACGAAAACCCAAGGTCACGTTGTTGTGCACGTTAAAGAACCCTAACAGTTGGAATTCGTATAGGCTGAGCAAAAATCCTCTACACTGCCCAACATAGGCCTGTCTTTAGGCCCCTATAGCCTGGATGGAGCAGAAAAGTAAGTCGTTAAACCCCACTTTATGCCATTTCCTATGGCGGGGTATCGGGTTCAAAATGCAATCTAGAGTAAAAAGCAGAATATCAAAAGTAAAAAGCAGAAAATCAAAAGTAAAAAGTAGAAAATCTGAAGTACACGGGAAAAATCTTATCTTAAAGGGTATTTTTATGGTGAAAACCTACAATTTTATTCACTTAATCTGAAAAAACATCAAGCTCTTTATCTGTTAATGGTCTGTAAAACTTTATCTAAAATGTGAGCATTATTTTTGTAAATACTTCAGTATATAATTAATAATGAACAGTGTTTTGGATTTGGTATGAGTTAACTTTTCTTTCGAGAAAAGAAAATGCAGCAAATTTCCTTATGTGTTTAAATCACAGCGCTATAACCCTGATAAGAGTAAATTACTTATGTTTCCTTCAAATGGTAAATCTATCACCTGTAAAGATATTTATATCGATGGTCAAAAGGTGCAGAACATTAATACTGAACCTCATCTAGGTAATATTCTATATAAGTTGTGAATGAAAAGATAATTTTATTGAGAAATCTGTTAGAAATTTTTTAACTAAAGTAAATGTAACTCTCAAGAATTTTAATTTTGTTCAGAGCCCTATAAAGTATAATTTGTTTAAGACATACTGTATGGCTTTATATGGATGTCCTTTATGGGACATAACGCATGTCCATAGGAAAATTTTATTGTGCTTGGCGTTAGAGTGTCAGGAGGATGCTCAATTTACCAAATCGCACCCATAATGCCTTACTACATTAAATTTGCAATGATTTTACAATAGAAGCTCATCTTCATAAACGATGTATGAAATTTATCAGTAGCATATTAAAAAGTAAAAATGAATGCACGCACGTCTGTGCTCTGCATGCTCTGCATGGAAGTAAATCCACTTTTTGTAATAATATTAACTATATATGTTACAAATATAATGTTAATAAATATAATATTAGCGACATGAATGTAAATGATAATACTAAATACGATTAATAAATGTGACACTGAACATAATAGTGTAAATGATGTATTGGTAGCTAATAGAATAAGAGACTTTATTATTTTTAGAGACGTAAAACAAGACCCTAACATTGACGAAATCATTGATCATTTGTGTATTTCATAAGAATGGTGTATAGCTTTAACTGTAAATACCTAATGAACTATTAATTGTACATATCCATTGTTATGTTTTCCCGAATAAAGATATTATTATGGTTATTATTATTATTATAGTCTCTATTATCCAGTTTGGGAGTTATATCGCAGAAAAGTTCACAGCACTCGGATGGAGATGAAGTTTGTGTGTAGAATAAGCAATGGGTCCGGCCATATGTATATATATGCCTTCTCTATGATTGTAATTAAATTAGTCAACCTTTTTTTCTAATTTTTGAAGATAACAGTAATTGTATTCCATATTGTTCTATCCTACGTATATTTCAATGATAATACTCCTCTTGCAGTGCCACGGCCAGTTCTTACAGTGTTGTCGGTTGACGTTGACGTCGACGAACACGTCTCCCGATCAAATTAAACGTAACACATTAAAGCAAAGATACGCTAAACAGTAAATCTTATGCAAGAACCGATAGGAAAGCAAACATGGATAGATAAACCAGCACAAGGCAGTTTTCGTCAACCCTTCCTTCAAGTGTCAAATTTGACAATGAACCCCTCCCACGTGTATGGCGCTATTGCCTGTCGCATGTGCAGCTCAGTGGTTCTGTTGGGGCGATAAGTTCTTCATCTGTAAACATACTCTCAAAGCATGTCAAGTGTCCATGACTATTTATCATATCACAACCTGCATAGGTATTTGCATTTCAATATCCCCTACTTTTTTTTTTGAAGAGTATATATACGTCACTGGTATGTATAGGCAGTGTTGCAAGGTAAAGAGTCGCTACACAACTAAATCATATAGGACCATTTGTAAATTTTATAAATAAATGACCCTAAAAATTTCTTCCTCAAAATAATTGACAAATCCCCCGCCCCCGTCCCTATTTTATTATCCACAAAGCATAGACAGATTTAATTATACTAATATATAATTTCTTTTCGATAAACTTGTCTGCTGCATAGGTTTCCAAATTAGGCAACTTCCGCACATTCAACGTTTGGTTAAGACGCGTCAGCAAGAAAGTGATCTTCTTCAAAAAAGTAACTACAATATAGCGATATCTTTGGTAAGTTTGTACTGTTTTTGTAGGTTGCGTAAACCAAATGCCCGTTCGAATATCATGCCTTCTGTTGGAAAAAAAAGTAAGGAAGGGAGCTGAGAAAGGTCGACACAGATGCCCATAGCCTTGTTTCTTTTTTTCCCCCTCCTACTCCTAGGAAAAACCAACTAGGCCTACTAGTACTACTCCTAGTTAGTACTAGATCTATAATCCAACAAGTTAGATGTTACTCTTTGATATTCTGAGAACGTACATCTAACATCCGAACGGTCAAAAACTCGTCGCAAAAGTTGATAACTAGTTTACTTCTTTCAGCGGACGGCAAAATTCACAATTTTCAGTTATCTGCACTGCTAACACATTAAACTATCATATCCATCTATAATCTATGTTCCGAAAAATATTTTTTGCTGTCTATTTTAAGAGATTTCAGAAAAATCTTCGCCTACAACCAACAAAACAGAGTGAAACAGGAAATGACCTACATTGGCGAAAGTTGAATCTGGCATGGTGCATATTACGAACGGAATTCTTTAAACGAAACGAAATCATGTCCATGTGAGACTATAATTTGAAGGCGATCATTTTAAATTTATTTTTAGTGATGGTCCGATTATCGGTTTCACCAGGCATCGATATTTCCGCGCACATGCGCACGGCGTGCGCAGGCACATTTGCTTTAAAAAAAACTTTTTTGCAGGCACATTTTTAAAGATGTAGCCACGCCGGGCGGCGCCTGCGCCCGGCACTATTTTTTGCCGCCCAGCTTGCCGCCCAGCACAAAGAAAAAATAGAAGAAAGCTGCCCAGTCGTATTTAAACCCCTTCGTCCTTCTCTGTACACAAACTCGGCGCTCGAAATTTACCACGGCAATTAAACGGCAAAGCCATGGTAAAACTAAAAGCCGACGTACGCAAACCATGTCTGTCACGGCATAATTTATTTTTGTGTGTTGTAGTAGACCCTATCATCCCAAATTAGTTTAAAGAAAGATGTATTGATATTTTGTTAATTTTTACTTAGAATTATTCTACGGTCTTTATATTTGTTAATTGCCGTAAATAGGTCACCCAGACCAATTTACGGCACTCCAATGTTAAAGGTTTGAATGTCGTAATTGTCCAACACGTGCCTTCAAATTTTCAGGATGTTTCTTATTTTATTTCTTACCTGTGTTGACCGTGGATTTGCTACGGCCCGAGAGTAGGACTAGGAGGAAGATGAGAACTTTCTCAGTTTCTGCCTGACCTGATTCTCATTCCACCGTAATAATAATAATATTCGTGAGACACGTACAACAACTTTACAAACAAGTCAAATGATACAACGTGTTTTAATTATCAATATCTACCTGTTGTCATAATTCGTTGTACTCAAATAAAACACAAACACCGTTTTAAGAATCGTTTAAATTTTTAATCTCAAAGTAATATTTGAAGAAAAAAAACAACAAATACCGAAAGGTCCTCAACTTATCTATTGTAACTTCCATACTCATGCTTGTACATGTAGTTGTGAATAAACTGTTATTATTATTATTATTTTTATCTATCCAGAGAAACAGAGTGGGGCGGGACAATTTTATGCTCGGTCGGGTGGTGTCAAAAAGTTTTTAGATCCCTGTATCATTGATGAAAATTAAGTGAATTTGGTAAAATTTGAATATATAAATGGAAATTTGATTTGCACTGAACCAAATACAAAAGGCAGAAGATGCTCTGAAAATACACCAAGAAGGGTTTAATTTTCATAAAAGACCACGCCCCCCTCCCAAAAATTGTTTTGCCTCGCTCCGCTCGCCACATATATTTTTACACCACTCACCAAATCCTGGCTACATCCCTGTGTTTCAGTATGACCCTGCAGGCACATTTTCAAGTGTGTGCGCAGGCACACTCAACTTTTATAGAGCCCTGGGTTTCACTATTCAGTAGCCTAATTGGCCGATGAGTGGCCTATCAGAAGAAATTTTACCGATATTTGCGTAGCCGATATCTGTTCAAAATGACTCGGCAGCCAATAAATCTTTTCATAATTGTGAACAAAGCATTCTCTCTAGTCTCTTACTTAAAATGGCACTCGGCCCTTTTATTTATTTGCCGTGTGTGTGATACAAGACTCAATGCTTTATTATAGATCTTTTCAACTCTATCGATAGAAAAGCGGGAAAATGTCACGTGACATTGACAAGACAGAAGCTATCATAATCAAGCGATAGCGATGAAACATTCTACGAACGCCGACAAATTTAAGGATTTATATTGTAATGAACATTTAATAACATTTTATAAATAATAATCTCAATCATACCGCCTATGCTAGAATTTACCACGGCGGCATAACGGCAAAACTGTCGTAAAAAGTAAAAGCTTAAGCAAACACGGACTGCCACGGTAATAAAAATAGCCCAAATTGCGCGGTTGTCCACGTGTACACGTATCAAAAAGTTATGCCTTTTATATACATGTAGACGTATGAAATGCATAGGTAATAACTTTTCAATATATCATACAGTCGTTCAGGGGCAGCTGGGCTTGGGATTCTAAAGGTCAATAATTCAGGAATGCAAGATTTAGTTGTAAATAGTGTCCCAAGCCTACCCTTAAAGTTCATTTTTTCATAAGAATGCTCACTTTCTAAAATAGTACCCTTATTATAGAAGGTTATGGCAGAGCCATGGGAAATTTGATGAATCAATTTTAGTTATGGTTGACATGATGGCAACCATTGGGAACACAAATAACTAAAGGATCGAAAGGAAAACAAATTTCGATGACTTTATTACTCCAAGAGAAATCTGTAAATTTTATACTTATGACAGTACCACCAAACGCAATGAGAACCAGATTAATTGACACGGAAAATCATTGCACGGACCGTTTGGCAATCTACAAATATAAAAATTGCACTTTCACTGACGGAAAATGACAACAGTATATTTGTTAAATACATGTATAATTGTCAGCTAATTTTTGTTACGGCATTTATAAATAATATAAATTTTTGGTGCCGTTGTAGAAGAATCCTCATTTACGTTGTGGGAAAAGAATAAAAATCCTCCAACTGAGCTTACTTACCATTTGTTTAGAAATGAAAAATTAGCAAATGAAATCTTAGATTCTCTGCTTCATGTCTTGTGAAAATATTTGGAAATATTAGTGTGGTGCTCAACATGGTCCAGTTGTTAAAATGTTGAGTACAAAATGTCCCCAAAACATAACACAGGGACACCACGAATTGCAACATAGAAAAATTTAACCACAGGCCGATTTTCTATGTTTTAATAGGACATAAGTATAAAATAATAAACATATTACATGATCAATTACTTTTTTTAAATAATTCAGGATCAGAAAATAGTTTTTTTTGCTGCTTTGAGCAATGATATGTATGAATTTTCAATCGGACCCCTCCTTTGTGGAATGACCCACATATTTAATGATATTTATGCATATGGTTAAAGGACCATGAAATCGATAATATTTGGGACCTAGAAATTGACACAAATGTGTCACAACGCATATAACAATGTAATATGAATGTATATATTTATAAACTGATTTACATAAATCGTTTCCGTTTTTTACTCTAATTTCAAATCGGCTATGTTCGGCGAAATACGACAGAAGTCTCTATCGAATGGCAATTGCTAGCGTCTGGTTATTCCAGTCTACTTTGAAAGTATTTATTGCGCATGCCCTCCAGATAAGAATATGATGTCACTGTTTGACATGACTCGTGGAAAATGTCTAGCCTCGTTCTTCGAGTCCCTTGTTACAAATGGCGATGAAACGCATCATGGTACACGATTCCACAACATCAATGTTGATTTAAATTGACAAATAATTTGTGTTTTCAATGTCGAAGACAATGGATGATATTAGTGTTGAATTGGTTAATCGGCCAGCCAAAAATTGTAACGGTGCCGATTAATCGGATGCCGTATAAATTCTATAATGTCTATGTCTGTTTTGCGTTCTGAGGTTTTTTTCTTGTGAATGTTTGTTGATAAGTAAATTATAAAATGACGCGTGAACACTGAATAGCTGATTGTATATTGTTGTTGTACATTTCTTTGAGTTTGTGCTGAAGAGATATTGGAATAAATCGTTTAAATCGGCAATAATTAAACAGCATTTACTAAGTCATTAGTTTTGATATTTACTTGCGCGGTTGAGCTGAGTATGACATTCCCATGTTTTGACTTATCCCTACAGCCTTAACTGCTAATTTTAAAAATCCAATACTGGCAATAGATTACAATTCACTAGTACAACAATTCCCGTACATAATATTTTAACATAGCGATAGTCATATTGACGAAAAACAACAAGAGAAGCCGCAGGAGACGGTACAAATAGAAAAAAACAGTCCCCAGGAGTCATTAAAAAGGCGGAGATCCTCCTATCTGGTAATGTCAGGAACTCGTTTATTTGTTGTGTCATAAAGGGTGAGTAATGGCACATTCTGATTGTGAATTAAATAATAAATTACAACTGGATTTAAAATTAATTTATACTGGAGGAATTTCTGAGGGAATCTTTCGATTATATTGTTGGAGCATTGTTTTCTTCTTTATAAAACGGTATTTTATTAAAATTACATTGGCAGTTTATCACTCGTTAAAAGGCATAGCCATCTTCCCCGCCGATTTGATTCTCGGTCCTTTTTTGTATTATCGATGCATCAGCAAAAAATAATTAGCTTTATGTGTCCGAGGAGTTCACAAGTTCATCCATTAGAATCAATAACACCTTTTCAATACGTTTTTCTGTGTTTTTTAATAATTCAAAATAAAACAATATACATGTAACGGAACAAATCAATGAGTTCCTCACAGTGTATTAGGTTTGACCTATTTACCCTACTCTTCCATTATGTTTGTCTCTATTTTCCAGTGACTACAAAGATTGCCTTTGCTGGTTACTTCCCCTGGCTATCATGTCGTTGAACCCCAAGGTCAATTTCAGGGTTCATTTAAAGATACATTCCCGCGTACAAACTGTGTGATTTGCATATTGATGATATATTTGGACTAAAAAACATATTCAAAGTAACCAATCTATCAATAATTTGCTTCAATTCCCTCTCAAAACTGTGTATTCGCCGGGGATACCTATAGCTATAAGTAAGCTGTTGTTAGACGCAATGTCTGTCAACTTAACTTCGTTGTGGGAAGGTCCATTTTTCAGAATGTATTTAGCGTTACTTACTGTACATTTATCATACATATATTGAGGCCTAAGTAAATTCTTAATTATTTCTGTCAACTTCTTTTTCCGCCATTTAATTGTAAAGTCTTATGTACTTTGACTCCCCTCAATGTTCCCAAAACCACCTAACCATTTGATCAAGAAATAACAACCGCCCCCTCACTTAAGCTGGCACACAATAAGCAGGCAGATAACAGTCGGGTAATCCAGTATTTTTCTACAGTGTAGTAAGATTGGGTGTCTATACTTTCCATATATACATGTACCAAATTTGACATACTTTTATTGGAAATAACCACCCAATAAATACTTTTCTGGGAAAGCATCTTTAAATCCCAAATCCAATATACAGTCCATGGCCAAACTAACTATGTCAGGAGGATAATATTTCCCACCTGGTTTTTAACGCTAGTTTTAAAATGATTTAGTCTTATTTTGTCACGGGCAATAGAGAATTTACTTCATAAATCCCTATAGACAGGCTTTGATACGATCCGTATAAAAATAATGCACCCCATGGGCATTTTTCGGGTAATCCAGTATTTTTCTAGTGTAGTAAGATTGGGTGTCTATACTTTCCATATATACATGTACCAAATTTGACATACTTTTATTGGAAATAACCACCCGATAAATACTTTTCTGGGAAAGCATCTTTAAATCCCAAATCCAATATACAGTCCATAGCCAAACTACAGTAGAACTTGCTCGGGCGTGCACTCCTAATCAGCGTACACTTGCATCAACGAGCACCCAAAAATCCCCCCCGAGCGATTTTTAAATAATTTAACCTCTAATAAACACGCACCTGTTCAACGCGTGCAACAGGCATCACGATTAATTCCCCCCGTAAAAATTCTACTGTTTCAATGGTCACTCCTCTAACGCGGCCAGCGGTCACTATTTTACTAATAAATTCAACAAAACATCGCCCATTCAACGGCCATTGTTGAATGATACCATCTTGTCGTTTTTTCTTTGTAACACTCCCGCTAATCCCGTGAGTAGTAGTTAATTAACTAGACCCCCACTGATCAGGTAAAAAGAAATGTAAAAATAACAATCAACCCGGGATAATCTGTTTATTAATCTTTTGTTTTAATAAACGACTAACCTGATCATTGTTTTCACGCGTAACGACACATTATTTGATACTGATTGAATAAAATGAAAGTACCGAGTTTTGTCACGATCATCTAGTATCTCTTTTCCAATGCCCCTTTGTTGTTAAACAGACGTTTTAGTGCCCCCTTTTATATTACATACAGAGTTACACCCCTGTAAATCGGTGATAAAATCAGCAATGGTTTTTTGTTCATGTGCTTTTTTGATAAAATAAAATTAATTCATTGATTTTCTTCACAAAAATGGATAAATATTATCGAATGCATCACAATGGTAGACAGTAGTATCGAAGGTTGGTACAAAATGACAAGTTTACAGAAGTTATGTTCGAGATTTGAGTAAAGAATTTTCGTTTGGCGCAAGATTCAGCGACGGTCAAATTTATCGATGCAAGTATTGATGTTCGCTCCCAATGCACCCAAGCGTAATTAATTTATGTCAGCACAAAAAGCATCGAGATTTTATTAAGTGGTCGCGTAATCGCTAAAATAGTTGGGATGGGAAATACTCAAATTCACGGCATTTTGAAACGCTTTTAGACGCTATGATTCAGTATGATGAAAGTAAAAGAAATATTTGGGGGGGGGGGGCAGAGATCCAGTATTACTAAACAAACATGTATACGCGACTACTTTGAATTCACAACTAGATAAAAAGTACATGTATTGTTATTCTTATACTACATGAATAAAAAAAATATATGCAATCTATATCTTTATTTTTTGAGGTAGGGGTTGGGGCAATATTGGATACCTCTAGTCAAAGAGCACCTCCATTAAGCAAGCATTTTTAAATTTCCCTTGGGTGCTTGCTTAATACAAGTTCTACTGTAACTATGTCAGGAGGATCATATTTCCCACCTGGTTTTTAACGCTACTTTTAAAATGATTTAGTCTTATTTTGTCACGGGCAATAGAGAATGTACTTTATAAATCCCTATAGACCGGCTTTGATACGATCCGTATAAAAATAATGCAAACTGTCTCTTGTAATCACCTTACACACACACCCCTCACGCCTTCATAGGATGAAATCTAGCTAGTGCAATTTTGAAATTAATGTAAGGGAAGAATGGACACAGTTAGGAAAAGATCTCTAGACTTACAAAGAGTGGCGACCATTGCAGCAATATTAATGTTACAGTAGTGTTACTGTAATTTCGACAGGTGATAGTACTTGGAGTTGAGACAGTGCTATCATTCAGAACCTTGTTGTTCTGCTACCTAAGCTTTTTATTAATATACATTACTCTCTTAATTGGCCAGTGCTTAGATTTCTAATAATGACATGCAAACAAGTCTGTTGCATAGTACATATAAATCTTCAATAAACAGAAGAAATGAATACATCCCACAGACAATAATTTGAAAGCACCACATTGTCTGTTTTGCTGTTGACATTGGTATCATGAGTATTCTGGATTTAATATTTCAAATAATTCAAACCTATAAAGTTGTACAAAATTGTGTCTTTTCAGAAAGTATAATCAACACAAATGGCTGCTCAAGTTCCAACAAAAATTGTACTGAAAAGTACGACCAAGATGTCATTAAATGATCGGTGAGGATATTTTCATCCGAAAGGAGAAATGTATCATGATCTATATGGTGATACTTAAGCTGGGCTAGAATGTTCAGTTTCTTATTGATCATAATGATCGTGTAACAGCTGGCTCAAGCAGCCTCTAAAACAAGAATAGAAAAATATTGATTTATAAAGTGTTTAGAAATCACAAAATCGAAAATTTTTGGCATTTACATATATTTGGCTGAGAAAATATATTATGTATTATATATAAATACAAGGAAATTATTTAAAAAAATTAATCAAATTTAGCTTTGTTAACAATATGATTGTTACTAATACTTTTAAGATTTATAAAAAAATCTTATATTAAAAATAAAACAATTACATTATACATGTATCATTTGCATGTTATGTGGCCTGAATGTGTCCCGGAGAGCAGAACCCAGATGGATGTATGCCAGAGTCGCCAAAACAGAAGACCTTGGATACAGTCCATCTTCCTAACTTATTTCTTTCTTCTTTTTCTTTTTTTGTTTCTTTTCTGCCAGACAGATTCTTATTTTATTAAATTAATGCATCCTTTACTTATCAAGTGGCAAGATATTTCATTGCAGAGAAATATATTATTTAAAGTACATGTAAATTGTAAGTTAAATTAATAAAATTATAAACATGCTGCCTTGATCCTATGAGTAGTGCACAAATACTTAAAGACTTCTTTCTGTCTTTCTTCTGCAATTGTATGCTATCAAATTTTAATTAAAAGCAATGATTTTGTTGTATAAAAATGTCTTTTGCCATAATGCCAGGTCAAAATTTATATTCTTGCTGAAAACATCTTATTTTTGTCAATTTGATCACTTCTCCCACTATCTTTTTTTTTTTTCATTCCATATTTTTAGCTCAATGAAGGGATTAACATATTATCATTCTTAATTTATTAACATAAATTACAAAAACATGAAAACAGGAGCTTTCTATTCTATTGAAAACCTGGTTTAAAATGAATGATACAGGCCACATGTTCATAACAGTTATCTCTGGTTTGAAATGGCCATGAGATTGTCATAAAGACAAAGTTAAATACTAAGTATTATATTGCCTCTTGTGAAAAGCTTCACACACATCCAGAAGACTCGACCGCAGCCAACAGTACAGAATATTAGAGGAAATATGATGAATCAACAGCAGACAGCGATACGCAATCAGAGACAGAATCAACAAAATTTGAACAGACCAGGATTACAACAACCGCAACAACAACAGGCTGCAGGCAAACTTAAACAGGTAATTTTAAGCAGCCACAGTGGCTCAGTATGTAAGGCACTGGTTCACTAACTAGTTCTACAATGGGCCTGGCAAGAAACTGCTCTAGTCATTTTGATCGGACAAAAACTAAGGTTCTGCATGCACAATGGCTATTTCAGAGGAAGAATCCTTTAGATTTTCAATGTTTTTCAGCATTCACATCTAGGGAGATTCCTATTGATTTTAAGTACAATTTTCACCCAATCTCTTTGAATGTAGCTTATAATAAATAAATGATAATATTGTGGACTTGGACTAGAAGGAAAAATAAAAAGGCCTACTGAGAGTCCACCATTCACTGTTGTCTATTGATGCCTGTTGGTTAGGCCAAACCAATTTAAAAATTAAAAAATCCATTTCTCTGGGGAAAAAATTAATTTAAAAACAATAAGTACATGTACTTGGTTGCTGTTCCAATAAATTATTGAACAAAACATCGTTCTCAAGACTTGAATGGCTACATATCAAAAGTCTGAATTGGTATGGCCTTAGTTTAGTTTATTAATTTCTGTTTACTTTATATATTACAGAGAAGTTTGAAACAACGATTAGGTTCTAGTAATATAAAGGCCAGGTTAAACTTTTCTGCTGTACGTGGAAGAGGTGGACAGAGAGGCAATATACAGAATCAGGGTAACTTCAGAGGTCAAATTCGAGGGAACAGAAGAGGTGGTCGACAGCCTCAACGTGGATTTGGCAGAGGTCGAGGAGGTAGCGATGCAGGTGGTGGATTCGTCAACAGACAACAATCAATGGGCTCTGTAGACAGTAATGAAATTTCAGGTCGTAGAGGTGGATTTGGTAATCCAAGGTTTAACAGCCAAAGTAAGCAGCATTGCACCCATCAGATTACTGTTAAAATTGTTTAAATCATTTTAAGACCGAATGTCATTTGAAATTATTCATTGCTTGTTCCTACAAAAATCATGTAGCTTAGTCACTTGTTTATACATGCAGCTCTATCTTACAAAATCTTTTATTGTTTGTTCTGATCTTGGAAAGGGGGTTGGCTTGCAATCATTTTTATGCGCCCACATTTTCATGGGACATATATTGTTGTCGCCCCTGTCCGTCAGGTCCGCCCGTCCGTCCACAATTTGTTTGTGGACTCTCTACAGGTCACAATTCTTGTCCGATTTTGACGAAACTTGAAATATAGGTTTATCCCCAAAGGATCTCGGCTGCTTTCGATATTGGCATGTATCGGATCGAAACTTCATGGATTATGGCCCCTGTTTGTACGAAAAATCATGTTTTTAGCTTGTGGACCCTATAGAGGTCACAATTTTTATCTGATTTTGTTGAAACTTGAAATGTAAGTTTATAACCCAAAGATCTCGGTTCCTTTCGATATTCGCGCATATCGGACCGTCACTTCCTGAATTATGGCCCCTGATTGTACGAAAAATTGCGTTTTTAGCTTGTGGACCTTATAGAGGTCATAATTTTTATCCGATTTAAAAAAACGTATTATTATATCACCGTTACAACCTAATTTCTTGAAAATCGGCCCAAAATTGACAGACAAAATGGCCGTCGTTCGTTCTCAAATAGCGTAAAAATATGTTATATCAAGGTTGTGGACCCTATAGAGGTCACAATTTTTATTCGATTTTGTTGAAACTTGAAATGTAAGTTTATAATCCTAAGATCTTGGTTCCTTTCGATATTCGCGCATATCGGATCGTAGCTTCCTGAATTATGGCCCCTGATTGTACGAAAAATCACGTTTTTAGCTTGTGGACCCTATAGAGGCCATAATTTTTATCCGATTTAAAAAAACATATTATCATATCACCGATACACCCTAAGGACGGCTGAGTTCGAATTTCGTGAAAATCGGTCCAAAACTGACAGACAAAATGGCCGCCCTTCATTCTCAAATAGCCTAAAAATATGGTATATCAAGGTTGTGGACCCTATAGAGGTCACAATATTTATTCGATTTTGTTGAAACTTGAAATCTAAGTTTATAACACAAAGATCTTGGTTCCTTTCGATATTTGCGCATATCGAATTGTAATTTCCTTAATTATGGCCCTTGATCGTAGGAAAAATCACTTTCTTTTTAGCTTGTTCTCTATCCATCTCTCGAAAATGTGGGCGTATCCTGCCTGGCAGCCGCTGGTTCTTCAATTAATTAACCAGTTGATATTATCTATCCATATCTCATTGTATTGTGTGTTGTTACATATAGATCTGATGGGTGCAATTATTGTGTACTTTATTGCATGTTTAACTGGTACTATAATTTAATTTTTGAAATGCTTCTATCTATCTCCAACTTGTAGTGTAAAACTTTCCCAAAAATGTCATAGATGTATGTGTGAAGGCTATTCAATATTTGGTCATAGAGTCTTTTGATTTAGTTTTGATTTTAAAGCTGGGGTCTCATTAATTATTTACATAAATTTAACCATAAAGGCTTGATGCGTCATGTAAAATTTTTCATGGTTTAGTCCACTATAGATATGTACTCAGTTTAATTATTTAACATTTAATTAAGAAAGCAAAATTTCAAGGCTAGATTATCTCCAGGTATGGATTCAATTTTAACTTGGCCCATCAGGTTTCCTCGCTACCAATAAAAGGTGGCTGCGTCTTGTTAATAGCGAGCAGTATAGATCGATGAAATTTCAATTCATCATAACATATTACGCCAAATGACGCATCAAGCCTTTAATTAAACTTAAAGATACATTATGGGAGATTAGATAAAGAGCTGGCAGTTCTCACTATAATAGTTAAAATTTAGATAATGTAAAGGGAATTTGCTGAAAATTTCAGTCACATTGATCCACTCCGAACCGAGATTTTAGCGATTGAATTTTCGGCCTAGCCTCGATCATCATTACTAAAGTCCGTACGATAAAAAACATAGTCTCGATTATCCATTTCATGATTAAATCATGAATGGAAGTTGAACAGCAACCTAATCGAAACCTAATCCAATAAACATCGCAGACTAGCGATGACATCGAGAGTTGATTATGGCCTGGATAAGTTAATTAATGTCTAATTAATAATTTAGAGAACATTTCAGGCCTAAATAAAGACCTGCATAAGGCAGATTTAGCTCTTGCATAATGTATGTTTAACTGAAAATTTATTCATAGGGACATTTTCACAACAACAATTGTTGAGGCAAGCACTAGTTAAATTATAATGACAGCTTTGGGGATTGATATCTTGGGCTAGGAGACTATTCTTTCCAGTGCACCTGACACTAGTTACAGTGCTTACTCATTTAGTATTTGTGAAAAGACCCCTGTTGATCTGTCATGTCTGTTAATTGATTGTGTTGTTTAATGTGTTAATGTGAAATTTTAGGGCGTGGATCCAGAGGTAGGGGAAGAGGTTCATTCCGAGGACGAGGATCATTTAACAATGGCAGTAGCAGGTAATGATATTATCTTTATCATAGTATTAATGTTATTGGTTTTAAATATTTTATTATTTTGGTTTGTTAGCATTCATATTTATAATGTTGATAATATTTAGCATGTCTTGATGTTTTTGCGTTTTCCAATATAGACTTCCTTTGTTTTATTGATTATGTATGGTATAAGAATAGATAGGTGTCGTTATTTTTTTCAACCTTTGAGTAATGAAATTAGTATATTAATTTTAATCTTATTGTTAGGTATAGCTTAACAACACATATATTATTATTCAATAAGAAATCAATTTATGAAAAACCTAAAATGTAATGATTAATAATTCCTAATCAAAATTCTAAGAAATAGGAGTGGTATAGTTTTTACAATCACAATTTATCTTAAGTTTGAATTATAGATACTAAAAAAGAACTTAACTTTCTATAAAAATAAATAAAGAGATATAAAAGAAGTTAGAGACCTTGTTATAATTGGCAATGATATAATTACCTCCATTTTATGTTTTTATTTAGAAATCGGTGAAATGTCCACTTGTAGGATTAACACCTAATTTTATCATTATAGAAATATACATATTTATTATTGTATTGTAACGTCTAAAATTTTCTGGTAAACAGATTCTTGTATTGTTGAAATTGCCTTCTATAGGGGTCGTGGATTTGGTCAGATGTCTAATAGGGGTCGAGGCTTTGGAGCATTCGGTCAATCGTCAGGCAGAGGACGTGGCCGAGGTGATCAATCCAGGAGACGTTATTTGGATAATAGGAAGTAAGATGGTGTGGTTTATGATCTTGTAGATGTTTATAGAGTGATCAACCACCACGTACCCTGCTGCTTCTATATCATTTCATAGTTCTGGCTCGGCATCAAACTCACATCAAAAGAAAATTTCATACAATTAACATTATTTGTATGCTTCTGATAATTGCCGAATTTGTAAAGCTTTCAATTATATTTGATTTTTAAATTAACAGACTGGATAATAAATGCAAGAGCCAGAACTTATGCAACCTAGTTTTGGGGTATTCTGTAACTAGATATTTAAATAATTTGTATAATTTCTTTGTATAAATATTGTATATTTTCTTGATAATTATTTCACTATTATTTATGCATGTATTGTTTTGATGTAGTTTTATTTTATATTAATTATTTATATCAATCTAGGTTTAAAGCACTGCACTTTTTAGCTGACATAATTTTATGCAAAATAACAGCCCGATTTTGCAGCATGACTACTTCAGTGTTAGAATTGAGGGCTAAAAATGAATTTCCTAACTGCAAATTAACTTTTAAATTTGGATTCTTCATAGGTTTGATTTGATGAGGCGTTTCAGAAATTTTGATGGGAGCTTTCTTTGTTTAAAATAGATATTTATATTTACAGATATATATGTTAGACCACTTTAACACATATTTTGTGGTAAATTGATAAGTGGTTTCAAAATTTGTTTTTTGGTTAAGTTTGTTAAATAATTTGTTGAATTCTAAATTAGATGGGTTAGGTACATACAATTTACAGACATTTGGACACAGTAAATACTAAAGTTCCATGATAAGTACATGTGAAGGCAAGTGTATGTCGACCTACAACTCAATATGATTTGCCTGCATATCATGTAACCACAACTGGATGATATCATTGTACACACATGAGATTAAATCATATTGTGAAAGTTTAGCATCAAATAGAATTTATTATTATGTTTCTTAACTGAACAATTATTAATCGCTATTCATCTGCTGAACTCCACTTTCGATGGAAAACTTGTGACAAATTTGTTGAAAGTTGGTGAGTTGGATGAGGGTTGTAAGCAAGTGTATGTTGAGAGTTGTTATAACTAGTTGAAATTATAATAGGGTGTATATTGACTTGGCAGTTGCAGGGCCAGTTGAAGAAAATGTGTGGCCCAGTTTGGGAAGCCCGAAGTTACAGGATATGAATATATTGCAGGATATGAATAACTTTAACTAGGCCTATATTCATTATGGCCAACTAAGCTTTACTTCACAATTAGTAATTGATTAATACCTGAAAATAGCTACACCTGACAGTTTGCCTGGAAAATTTTTAAGTTGGTGAGCTGCGGGGGTCCCTTTCTAGTGTGGGAAATTGGTTAATTGTGCCAAAAATCATCCCTGGGCAGTTGTTACAACCAGGTGAATTGTATGTTGACATGACAGTTTTTACAACTAGTTGAATTGTAAGAGGGTAAATGTCGACAGTTGTTACAACTAGTTGAATTGTAAGATGGTGTATGTTGACAGCTGTTGCAACTAGCTGAATTGGAAGAGGGAGTGTGTTGACATTTGTTACAACTAGCTGAATTGGAAGAGGGTGTACGTTGACAGTTGTTGCTACTAGTTGAGTTGGAAGAGGGTGTATGTTTAACTGTTGATACAACTGTACACAAAGAAAAAAGTTAAGCACCCCCATGTTTTTTTCGAAATGACATATGTTACAACAGATATCTCAAAGTTACTGACAAAATTATCTTCCGAACGCAATGTCGACCTGTTAGGACATACCATTGGCTGTAAGAAACAATGTAAAATGTTAACTGATATTTTAATTAAATGATTATTTAAGCATAATATCACAAGGCCAGTTTGTGCAGTAAAACATATCGATTTTAAGTATTGGCCTTCACAATTCAAAAAGAATGATAATATAGGCATTTCACTTTCAAAACATCACTTATATTAAGTCACTTGATCATATCTGTTGTTCAAAGGTCAGTACCGATTGTAATCGGCACATGCTTGGGCATACTCCACACATTATTTCTTTTGATTAGAGCTAATCCCACTTAACACTGCTGTAAAGGAAGCAAATTTCTGTTTCAAATTATGACTGGTCAATAGTCCAATCAGTGCCCGAAACAAACATTTTTTATCCGATTTAAAAAAAACGTTACATCCTAAGGATTGTTGAGTTCGAATTTCGTAAAAATCGGACCAAAACTGACAGACAAAATGGCCGCCCCTCGTACTTAAATAGCGTAAAAATATGGTATATCAATAATGTTGTGGACCCTCTAGAGGTCAAAATTTTTATCTTTATATCCCAAAGATCTCAGTCCCTTTTTGATATTTGCACATTTCAGACCATAACTTTCTGGATTATTGCCCCTGATTGTACAAAAAAACAGATTTGTTTTTAGCTTGTTCTCTATCCATCTCCTGCAAAATGTGGGCGTATCCTGCCTGGCAGCCGCTGGTTGTCTTATCACGTAACTTGCAAATATGTTTTTATTCCTTTGTCCATGATAGATACACGGCGCAGTGATCATGTGACAACCATAATTGAAATTGCTTTAAAATGAAATTCCGTACGACTATGCCATATAGCTTTCAATAATAATGACAATATTTTTAAAATTAAGCCTCTGTCAGCATGTGTATAAAATAAAAAATCATAACGGTAAACACTATTTAAAACTAAAACTAGCATTGCCGGTTTATTGACCTAATTCCAACCGATGTCACATGTCATCGGGGGATACAGCATTGGAGATTTTGCCGTAAAAATATATTATTAATGACTGTTTCTGGGTGTATTTGGTGTTCTATCCGAGGATTATATTCAACTAAGATTTAAATTTAACTAACAACTGGTCGGTGAAACCATTAAATGTATGACCCAATTATTATTTTAATATCTACCGATACCTGGAATTCATACGGAGCGTCGAAGACGTGCGATTCCCGAGCGAGATGCACAATCCATGCCAAGGCATGACTGTTATTGTAGCCGACAAGCAAGTTCATTGACTACTTAATCAATAAGTAATAATTAACCTGTAAAATTTAGCCGAAAGTTGATTAATTTATGATACCATAGTGGCCAGTTCATTGTTTTACCAAACGGCGTGATTGAAGTTCAAGCGGCTAAAGCCACCAAAACAGCTACAAATCAGAGGCTGGTTATGTGAGTCAATGTTTGGAAAAACAGCAGCTTCCGTCATGTCGATGACAAGTAAACAATAACCGTCAACTATCGGAGACTTGGAGGTTGCATTTCTATGACAGTTCTACCATTTCCCGAGTGAAATAGGCAAGCAGTAGTCCTCTGATAAATCAGTCGGCCTTGGGCCTACGGACCGACGTTTGTATCGAACACTGAGTCAGATTAACAACCAATAGCTAACTGCGTAACAATATCATAGAGCTCCAAATTGGACCAAATATGTTTACATAACGTTACGTCTTGACTCACGATTTTATTATGCCCAATTAACCAGTACATAGCAGAATATTGCAGAAAAACGTATTGCATGACAAACGAGGCTGATACAATGTAAACAATACTTTCACCGTTTTTAATACCTTCTGGCTCATGGCTGGCCAAGGAATAGACGTAGACGGTTACTGCTCTTGAACAATGAGGTCTGGCGTTGTCATTCATGTACACATGTACTGATCACCATTTAGGTTGTCTTGTATGGTAACTAAATTCAGCTTGAAGTGATGAAAGGTACACCCCCAAACCATTACTGATCCTCCACCGTAAGAGACATTTGGTTGGATGTTCCTTGGGGTATAGGCTGTATTTTTGTGTCTCCATACCCTCATCTGGCTGTCGGATACGTGAACCAGGAACTGGCTCTTGTCTGACCAATGGATCTTGTGCCATGTCCTTAAATTTCAACCACGTTACGCCAAACACCATAGTCAGGTCAAAATACAGTTTAACGTCCATGCTGATTTTAGATGGTTTCTTACTGTTCATGTTGACTGGCGTCTATTGGGCAGCCAGTGTTTCATTGTTTATGGGAATGGTTGGGAATGGCATCCGTCTTTAGCAAACACTGCAATGCCCTGTCAGCATGATCAGTTTTTACCCGTGGTCTGCTGGATCTGAGCATGTCTTTCATGTTATTGGTTTGTGTGTGTTTTCATACCAGTTGGCTGTCTGCAGTATAGTTGTAGCCCACCTGACATCCAATAATAGCTTTGAATGACATCCCTGCTGTATGCATGCCGACTATTTTCCATCTTTGTGCTTCTGATCTTCACCTTCGTGCCATCTTGACTGGGAATGAATAATTTTTTTAAAACACCAGGTTTAAATACCCAAATTCGAAGCGCTAACATACTGTGTGGGCATATCTTTTTAATGAAACACTGTTCTTGCTAAAATCAATATAGATATTAGAATCTGAACTTAGTGTTACTTATTATGTTTAAATATATCAGGGGGTGCTTAAATTTTTTCTTTGTGTATAGTTGAATTGTAAGCTGGTGTGTTGACAGCTGTTACAACTAGTTGAATTGTAAGAGGGTGTATATGTTGACAGTTGTTTTGGGTTATAAAAGCACATATAATGACAGTTGTTTATTGTCTACAATATCATCCTTGGTGGAAGTGGACAGGGGTTGGGATGGCCTAGTGGTCTAGAGATGGGGGCACCTTCTCAACCGTGTAGGTTTACTCCAGTTTCCTCCCACAGGAAAACCCATGCGCGTTCGCTATGATAATAAAAATGAAAAATTAGACTTGACTGTGATGTCACCTTCGGTGGAAGCGAACGTTAAACACAAAGAACAACAACCAGTTGTTTATTACTTATCGAGTTTAAGGTCAACATACACTCACCTTCAGGCATGAGCAGCTTTCAAAATGTAAAATATAAATAATGGGGGATATGTTTTATCGATTTGGCAGATAAAGATGCTGTTCATGCACATTTTGAATTTATTTATCAATTTCTAACATATTCCAAATACTGTTTATATAAATTTATATAACTTTTTTATTCTCTTAATACTCACCCATTAATTCGTTTGTATACTGTACTTAATGTATGACGATAATGATTCTAACTTAATATACAACTGCATTTATCCTGAAAGAGTAGATTATGTAGAAACCGTCTAAATGGGAATTCAAAAATGATTTTTATATTTTCTGACTTTTAAAGCTGTTTGATTTATAATTTATATTGAAACTGAAAGATTATAAAATATATGTTCCTGCCACATAATTTTGTTGTTTGTTCTATTATTTTTATGAAAACTTAATAGTATATTAATCTTTTTTAGTTTTAATGACCAAGGACGTGGTGGAGGCCGTGGTAGAAGGGGTGTTAGAGGTCAAAGGGGTGGTGGTAGAGGTCAGCGAGGAGGAGGAGGAAGAGGCCGTGGACGAGGTCAGGGTGCTCAACCAACTGCTGAAGAATTAGATAACCAACTAGATGCATACATGTCAAAAACCAAATCTCATTTGGATACCGAACTTGATCAATATATGGCTGATGCCACGAGTTAAATTACTGTCCATTTTTACATCTCATTAAATATCCATTAGCCATCTACACAGAGTGGTTTGTAGAAACTAAAACCTATACAGTTGTCATTTATACTTGTATATAATAATGGTGTTATACAGAACATTATAGCACTGATGTTTTAATGATTTTAATTTTTGTAAATAATCACCAGTAAACGGTATTTTATTTAATAAGTATCCAGGGATACATGTATTTTTGTGCTCGTCATTTTATATGGTTTACGTTTTCGCCATGCAATGAACAGTTATAAATTGTTCAAATCTGCCATTTTATACTCTATTACTGCATTTTAATCATTATTATCATAAAGTATGTTCGATTCATTTTGTAGAAAAATCATTCCTAACTATATTACTCTAAAATCTAGTGTACAGAAGTTTATTGGTCATCACTGAATAAAATGTATCGAATTCTATTATGTATTTTTTTATTCCATCTGCATATCCTAGAATCACTGATATTCTTGAAGCCTATAGTGGCAGTCATTGAGGGAGAGAGAAATGGGGTTTAATGTCCACTTGACACAAACTAGATCATTTCGGGATTAACACCTGGTTCAATTTTATTTCAATAATTTGCATGTGCGTAGGGGTCTTTAGCAGCGGGAGGACCCAGAGAAAACCCATGAGGTTGGACAGGCGACCCTACTCCTTGTCACGTACAACCAGGGAATTAAAACCCCGACAGTTGACTCAATGACAGACCCCTGAGGTTGAGGCAGAAATAAGACAAAACCTGTAATCAATCTGTGGATCCCCTCCTCTACGGTCACCTGAATATGGTTTAGAGATAAATAGCATGTTACATCATGATGGATACTTGCTTCCCTAGGCTTTGTCTTCTGAATTACTGAGCATGGTGGTGCAGAATGTTGATCAATGGTCATAGTGGCATGTGAGTAAACGGACCACTTGACGGCTAGAAATGGAAATTAGAGCAGGCCATAGTGCCGGTTCTGGGCCAAAATTTCACTCTTGGCACACAGACTGCTGTAAATACCCATCTTCATTAAATCTGGAATGGTACTAGAAGTAGAACAATGCCTATACTAACCTTGTCAGAAAATTTAACTATGCTGTTATATCTTTTGAGGAAAAAAAAGTAACAAAGTTTTCATTCAGGTTGATTTTATTTACAATTTCATACAAAAATACCTGTGGCAAGCGATGGGTTCTGTATGGCCAAAACATTGGACAAAAGGCACAACAAAACAAAAACATACTGCTTCTTAAACAATTACATATTTACCAGCTCACGTCGACAAAACAGTGCAATATTTCAATGTAAAGAACTGATGTGCTATTTGGGATAAGATTTCAGTGGATATCTATGAGTGCATGCATGATATATTGCAGTACGAAATTTGGCATATTAAAATTTTCACTTTGATTTTTTTAAAAAATCTTTATTTACTTCGTAACAGATCACCTAAAAATGGCAAAATAAAAGGATTTTATGCTTTTACTTTACTGAAATTTTAATTTTGTATTTTACGAAACCATGCACAATTCCTAATTCAAAGTGTTTTTTTTTTTTAAATCCATAAGAATATATGCAAAATTGTTCTCATTAAAAAAACTAAATAATGATTCTGGTCTGATATGCTCTCCAATCAGTTATGTAATTAGGACCACACCATGGAGGAAATATATCCTTGACTTATACCTCAACAATGGCTTAAATTGTAATGTAGAGAGATATCCTAATATAGTAATACAATAAATTACCACATCAGATCTTATGGCCCACTTTGACTTTCACAAAAAATAGAATTGGCTGTTCTTTTAGCATCATGTGAGTGAACCCGTTTCTCTTGGGGATGCAAGAGTTGAAAGATAAATTGCACAAGATGCCAAAATTCCTGGGTTAGGATACATGTACTGTATTCAATTTACAAGCCTTGTACTCAAATTGTGCCTTAAACAATTGCTGCCTTTTGAATATTTAGTGGCAGTCTTTAATTTGAGACTGTAATTGCTAAATGTGCATTGTATGATGGCACAACATCAGTTTTTTCAACTTTAAGCTTGCAAATTCTTAGGTCTATTCCGTTAAAAATCATCTGGATTGGTGAGAATGCCACTTTCTGTAGACTCCCTACCAACAAAATACAAGCCAACAGTGAGGCTGATGTCCCGCCAAAATCCCAAAATAAATAGATGACACATTTAATTTATCGCACATTTATTTTTTTCAAAAGTATCAAGCAATAAAACTGATTATCAACTATACACTAAATTTCATAACTCTCTATCAGATAGAATCAAAGTTATCGTGTCCTAAAGCATGGACCAATGAAATTGCTTAGCTCTGCTTAGCTTTAGCTCGAAATGTTAATCATTGAACTCGGTCAAGACATTCACCTAATGAACATCTACATCAAGTTTAAACATTCTACCTCAACTAAAAGCAGAGTTGTTACATTCCAAAGTCTTGGCCAATCAAATTGCTTATCTCTCCTTGGCCTAAGCAGAAAATTCTCATCATTGAACTTAGTCAAGGTAATGATATAATGAATATATACTCGAAGTTTCATCACTCTCACTTAACTTAATTATAACTAAAGTTATCATGCCCCAAAGCATCAACCAATCAGATTGCTTATCTCTGCTTACCGTAAGCAGACAATGTTTATCATCGAACTAGATCAAGGCATTCACCTAATAAACACCTACGCCAAGTGTGAACATTCTCGCTCAATTGTGTTCCAACGTCTCGGCCAATCAAATTGCTTATTGCTCTGCTTACCCTAAACAGAAAATGCTCAATATCGAACATAGTCAAGGTATTGATGTAACAAAACTATACACCAAATTTCACCACTCTCACTTAATTAGAACTAAAGTTATTGTTTCCCAAAGCATCAACCAATCAAATTGCTTATCTCTGCTTACCCGAAGCAGAAAATGCTCATTTTCAAACTCCATCAAGGCATTGACCTAATAAACACCTACACCAAGTTTGAACATTCTAGCTCAATTAGAAGGAGAGTTATTGTGTCCCAAAATGTGTGACGGACAGACAGACTAACCCATTTTAATAGTGCCCTGCTTTCTTCGAAAGGCGGGGGACAATAAATATTTTTCTGGAATTTTGTTCACACCATAAAAAATCACTCCCTTTTTTCACTACTTATGCTAAATATATTTTGTTACAAAGAAATCAAGGTATACCAGGGCTAATAAATAGGCTTGGCGTCATGGAAAACCCACATGGGTTGTAGCACTTTTATGATTTTGAGAATAAAGTTTGAAAATCACTACACTGAGATCATTACTTGGCATTTATTAGAAATAACATAATTAAGAACATATTTTTACATGTGATCTATTATTTGATCACTTATCACAAAAGACAAGCATTTTATTTAATGTACGGGTACTTTTAATTTCAATTATATTTAACTATGACCTTTGCACAAATCTGAGGTAATCTTTTTTTCATTGGCTAATCAATCAATTATATTGTTTTGCTGAATAATTATCAATCTGAATAAAAATCCTTTCATAAAAGGAAGAAGTTACATAATTGAGAATATTGGCTCATTAAGACTTGACTTTTATATTATTATTTGCATATTAATCAATCACATTATATTATTTTGTTAGACTTTTACACTACATTGTAATCTAACCTACTTTTCATCATCACAGTGTTCTGCCAGTCACAGGAAATGTCTAACAACTAGTCATACTATAACCCCAGCAGATACACAACAGCACTGAGTTCTAAAATTTTCATAATTCACAATAAAACAAAGCCCTGTATACAGATACAGACAATTTGATTGATCAGTAAATTCGTGTGATCTGAAATATGTCAGATGTCAATGTAGTGCAACATAAAAGAATAAATGACACATAATTGACATCTGATGTTACTTAAGATTGCAAATTAATAAGCTTAAAAAATAAATGTTGTTGAACTAAATTACAGAATACATAAATACTATAATTAGTGATATAATATGTAATGTATATAATCCAATTAAGGTAAAATGTCATGATGATTTTGAGCATAATTGGATTTTTAGGTTGAAATTTGTTTTGCTTTAAAAGCTGCTCATAATACCTATAAAATATAATATGTAAATCGGAGTTAAAAGTAAATAGTCATTATTATTTTTTATATATATAAATATATACTGATATTGAAGATTACCAGCTAGTTGATATTCTGATATTATTATTAAACTTCTATTATTAAACATTGCATCAGAAAAAATAGAGATCAATGTTAATTGAAAAATTCTTTCTTATTTGCAATTCTAGAGATGAATACAAAAAATATTATTGAAGATTACTATTCTGTTTGCAAAGATAGAGATGAATTAAACTGAAGTTATCAAATAATACTGGACTGTAAACAGCTGAAGTGGATTGGGAGAAGGGAGCACAAATTTTGGAATGGGGTAGTTGCAAACTGTAGGCCACAAGAAAGGAAGCTTGGAGTCCAACAACTTTCTAATTTTTTGACACTTTTAATGCTAGAGATGCTGAAAATTAGATTCATTGTAAAGTACTGGGGCTGACCCAACCCTCCCCACAGGATACAGGTCTGGACTACTAGTACTATTTATTTTGTAATGATAGAGTGGAATAGAAATTTAACGAAATTGAGTTTAACATCAAACATGCTAAAGAAGACAGGAGCTTAATAAAACTAAAACTACTGAAGACTCTTTTACTGTCATTTCTAAAGATGAATAAAGGTAGATTGCCAGGCAAGGAAACATACACCCACAGCAGCTAAGTCATCCAAGCAGTTTTCACATATTTATGTTTTTCGCAGGTAATGGTCAAAAGTAACAATCCATAAAATTAATATCAGAAAAAATTAAAATTTGATAGGCTTTTAGTTTTTCCAAGGGCTAACATATATTATACAAAATATGTACCGACAGTCATAGGATAATCAATATACTTCTTCATCTAATCAACATATACACTGCATATAAATTTCAAATAAACGGGATGATATCTTTAGTCTTTGGAGCTTCCATAAAAATTTTCAAACTGATTAATTTATTGGTAATCATTGAAAATTTGTTGAATGAACTAAACACTAGGTATCAATCTGATAAAAACTTTAGCCACGAGAGTGACTATAAGATTTTCCATATTATTCAAGGGTTGTAACTCTGACAGTAATTATTGGAAAAGGTTGAAAATCAATAAAATAATAAATTTTATGAACACAAATACTGCATATAAATATCAATCTAGATCGTCCACAAAATTCTTCAAATTGGAAATTTTGAAAATCAATAAGAATCTTCCTATCATGAACATAAACACTGTGTATAAATTTAAAGTCAACTGAATGATTATTTTAGTCTATAGGACAACCACAAGTAATTGTGCACAGACCGATGGGGATCATGACAATATACAACCAGATTTCAATGTGAGCGTATAGAAAAGATATTTTGAAGACTAGTATGAATTTAGTTCTAAGAGGGATAGATACAATTGGTGTTGCTCTTTAAAGCATTTAGGATATTAGCCACTTTTTAACTGGCTCTACTGACTAGTGTTAGCTAATTATATATGTACTTATGATACATTATACCAATTCATAAGCTGACCTACATAATATCAGTATGTATCATATACTATAATTATGCAATAATAATGCATATTATTATTATCACTTTAGAATCTCCTGTAAGACGGACGCCATCTGTATTATTATAATAATGAACTGAACTGTATTTTAGGGCTTACTATGTATATTTCAGATTAATATATATATATATATATATATATATATATATATATTTTTCTCGTACAAATATATGTCTGTTAATTTATCCTATTCTATGCCTGTAACAATACGTGGCATTTATATATTAGACAAAATTTGTGTATTTTTAATCTTTAAGGAAGAGCCCAGCTCTACTTAATTCTATAATCAACCCCCTGCAACAAAATGTACTGAGATGCAATGAAAACACACCACTGACTTGACTGGAGGTACTGGCGAGAAATAAATCAGCTGATTTAAGAACATGATTGTAGGCTGGACATTTACTGACACAACAAAACACTGGAAGGCCATCACAACTTTATTTTACAGTGACAAACAGCATCAGCACTGATGAAACAATGTGTATTACTCACAATAGCAGCAGTATGGGGAGCTGGCAGCATGAAATCCTGCAGATGTTCCTGGATAATGTGCCAGTCTTGTTGAGGTATTGCTGATCTCTAGTGTACCGTGTCTGCTGGAAACGACTGGCCAGTTGCAGGATGATATTGTGGAGGTATGCATTAACGAAATGACAGGTTCTCTGTGTTTAAGTGACAACCTTGGCATATCATTGCATCTTCCAAAGAACAGAACTGTAGGAGTTTAATTGACACTAGTTTTTTTTATAAAATCAACAGTCTATACTCGATGCTACACAAAATGATGATATTCAATTTTTTGTGTTTGAGAGAAATATCTGTGGTGCATATTCCTGGTTCAAAGTTTGCAGACTCACGTTGGATATGTCTGCATATACTGGCGAAACAGCATGTGAAAACACCATTTTCATGGTTTGTCATCATGATTGGATGTTGTGTACATTAAGAATTGCAAGATTAAAATGTAGCTCTCAAACAAGATTCTCAATCATTCATGTATAGCAGTGGTGCGTTTTCATTGAGACTGAGTATATAACAGTTTTATAAACTCTTATTTTGTATTGTAATAAATTGATTTCACAATAATTTTCCAAAATATAAAATTAAATGTACATTTACAAGTAACAATATTATCTATACTCTATATCACATTGTTGTAACAGTATTCAGTAATCTATATTTATCTATAAAAACAATATATTGTATACAAGATTTAGCACTTTTTTAATAGTCTATGGATTAAGAAGTTTCTCAACGTATCATAAAATTCATTTTCAAGAAATGACTGATATTCATTAACAGCATTGCTCTACCATATTAGTTAGTAATAATTCGATATATCCTATATATTATTCTATTGTTTTATATTATAATAATTATGCAATAATAATAATAATACCACTTTTTCCTTATGTAAAAATTCAACAACAATAGCAGGTTATTTTATATGTGCATAATTTAATGTACAATTAAAGTTAATATACTAATATATTCTGATAAAAATAAGCAGAAAATTTTTACAACTAAGCAAAAAGCTAAAACCTTAAATAATATATATTGCTCTAACTGGGCAAATAAAGAAAATATAAATAGTCCATATTAATACAATTTAAGCACAAACCTTTATTCTATATTCTGAATAATCATAAATATAATTAATGTAATATACCTAAAGTATAAATCTAAAAAAAGTTATTGCAATTTCAATTTTTTTTGTTTTTGACATCTTTTAATTTGCACACATTTTTGCAAATTTCTTTTAGATCTATATATGAAGAGCTTAAATGCAAAATGCAGTATTAATCACCATTTATGCCAAAAATGAGATAGTTGCACACTTGATATAAGACTTTAGCTATGCTAGTTTCTGTCCATAACACAGTTAGACAAATGGAATCAACCATCCCAAGTTAAGAAATGAAATGGTTTAACCACCTACTTTTCTGCTCCATCTGGACTAATAAAGATGGCCATAGGCTACACCATTCAGTGTGCTATGAGGGAAATTTTACCCGGACAGCAGCACTACAGCCTACTCATATTTCGAAATTCCAAATGTCAAGGGTTCTTTTAAGTGTATGTCCATGGGTACACCGGACCTGGGTTTTTTTATTTATCACATCTGAACGACTACACACTGATCGTCGTCTGTGCCAGACAAAGGCGAGACCACTCTGGAAGATCCCAACACATGGATTTAACCCGCCCTCCAGGTTAGCGAGCCAGCACCTTACTCACTGAACTAAAAAAAATGCAGCTCCACTTGATATCAGAGTGTTGTATATGCCGAAATGGACATACTGTGTTCTACAATAAACCCTTCATATAGATGTATATAACTAAATGTAAAAGTTTATCAAAGGAAGCTAAATACTGCTTATAACCATCTAGGGGTAAAAACAATCCCCAAAACTCAAGTAAAATGTGAATTTTTCGTTATTGATAAATTAAATGATTGCTGCTAAAACAGGTGTCTTTATCACATATAATACAAATATACACAAATGATAAATTATGATATGATAATTAGAACATTATACAAATTCTCATACTTTTTATACTCTATAAAAATCATATACTAATACCAAAATCAGTGGAATTCCACTAATAATACAATATGAGAAAGGAGAATTCTTTTTCTTTACATATTTTTGTAAATACTTTAAAATATACAAGCATTAAATTTATTATTAAACATATACATAAACTTTGTAAGTTTTTTTTTTTTAATCACTGATATTTTATTACCTTGCTTTACAAAAATATCTCTTGGCAGTTATTCGTACAAGGATTTTCAAAAAGTAAATTGGACTTCAAAATAAAGTTAGGACTTCATCTACATGTCAACTAGCCAAGGAACTTCCTTTGTTTCAATCTAATGGCAAGCAATATGGTTTTCAAGTCTATCAAGTCCATTTACGTAGTTTTTTTTTTCAATTTTTAACATTCTACTAACAACATCTTGAAGCCTTCAACTAAAAAGATGACTTGCTATTATGTTTACACAATCAAGCCAGATGTTTTGCAATCAGGTTGCCCTGTTTTTATATCATGCATAAGATTTTATGGCACAGAATTTGTGAGAAACAGAAATGTATTTTTCTGTAACAATCTAACAGTATAGTGTAGTTAGTCCATAAATTGATGGTATTGTAAACTTAACACCCCTCAAAACAACAAAATAATCAACAGTGATAAATTATGGCGCTATATTAGATTAAAAATTCTAACGTGCTATTGTCTAATTTCTAACTTCTGTTCATGTAATTTTTAACTTCTATTCATGTAATTTTTAACTTCTATTCATGTAACTTTTAAATTAAGACAATGTATAATACAACTTCTTTATTTGTTCAGTTGCATGTAAATTTTAATTCTATTTCTTCTTATTTCTATTATTTAGACAAAAAACGTTTTCTTCATTGATGCTTTACACGTTTAGCATGAACATTTCAAATTTAGAATTTTTACACTTCTGCCTAGCAATCATCATTATGAAGTCGTTTGGTGTCGCCATGCACTGCATGCTCATTTGGTGAATGCACACCTGCTCGGGACCATTATGTTGATATATATATAGAGAGAGAAATGGGGTTTAACATTCACTCGACACAAACTAGGTCATTTCGGGACTAACGTAGGGGTCTTTAGCAGTGGGAGGAAACCGGAGGACCCGGAGAAAACCCACGAGGTTGGACAGGCGACCCTACTCCTTGTCACCTTTATGTTGATATAAACGACTCGCTCTTCAACTGGTTGATGGTTCGCCTGAGTGCTGAAATTTAGACAGAGACTAGGTCATTTCGGGACTAACATATGGGTCTAGCAGTGGGAGGAAACTGGAGGACCCGGAGAAAACCTACGAGGTTGGACAAGCGACCCTACTCTGTGTCCCGTACAACCAGGGAATTGATGCTGAGATTGTAAACAACATCAAACGTGATATGGTTTCAAATACTATTTCAAATATAAACTAAACAAAATTTTTTTCATTTTTTTTTTTTAAAGACAAGTGAAGGATTTGGAGAATTTTATATGATTTTTTTTACAGTTAAGCCAATATTAATATTTATATACTGTTGATCTGTATTCTATTACTGCTTTAACAAAAATGTCACTTTATAATGATAAACTTTTTCTTGCAATGTTTCAAAGATATAAATTTAGAAATCCTATATTGTGGGGATGAAGCGGCCTTTAAAGGAGACCGGGTTAATCTGTTCATGTGGATAGCGATGAAGTTGTTATTTCTGATATTCCTTCATTATACCGACCTGACTAACTTTATGGTAGTGTTTTTCCAACAATATTTTATTCAAGTTGCATAAAGCGATACAGATTTTCATAGATTGCGGTGTTCGTGACGAAATTAAACCAAAATGAAATTTGATTTATTGTCCTACTTTTCTACACCAACTGGGCTAATGAAGATGGACGTATGCCATACAGTGTGCCATGGGTGAAATTTAGCCCGGACAGCGGCGCCACGGTCTACTTTTATTACAAATTACAACTGCCAAGGGTTTTCGTCAAATCCTAACGATTAAACACTGCCCCTGCCTATAATAATGGCAGCCTCTACAAATCACAGGGATGGAACTAATAATGTCAGAAATATTATAAAGCTTAGTTTTGCCAATGTGTATACTAGCTGACCCATAGATATATATATTTATTTTATGATCAGTAGTGGAATACCACGTTTTATCAGTGAAATAAAATTGTTATTCCACTGGCTAGCAGTAGTCCATGTTGTTTTTACCTAAAGTGATTGTAAAATCATAAAATAAATAGAACATTTGTCGTTTTGTCGTGAATAACATATTTTATTTCATCTCTAAGCAAGAAAACTTTTATATTTTCACTCATGCTACGCATTCGTGAAAATATAAGTTTTCTTGCTTCTCGATGAAATAAAATATGTTATTCACTCTAAAACGACAAATATCCTCTATATATTTCTATGATATAACCGATATCTTCCGGCGTGGTTCTCCCTCCCTTGTTATTGATACAGGACGGGGGTCTGGCACGGACAGTGGCTAGCCGTTCGGATAGTATAAAGACACATTTTTTTTAGAGCAGTATAAGAATTGACTTAACTGTAAAAAAAAAAAAAAAAAAAATCAAATAAAATTCACCAAATCCTGCACTTGTCTTTAAAAAAAATAAAATAAAAATGATTGAACAACTGCTGTTTAGCTTATATTTGAAATAGTATTTGCAAACCATATCACGTTCGATGTTGTTTTCAATTTTAACACTCCGCCAAACAATTCAACCTGACGAAGAGAGAATCGTTTGTATCAACATAATGGTAACGATCAGGTGCTCAATCACCAAATTGAGCACACGGTGGCGACACCAAACCACGGCATAATGATGGTTGCTAGGTAGAAGTATCAAAATTCTAAATTTGATCACCGTTCACGATTAACATGTAAAGCTTAAATAAAGTAGACATTTTTCGTCTTAATAATAGAAACAAGCCAACAGTGAGGCTGATGTCCCCCGCCGAAATAGGAAAATAATTAGAGAGTTATTGTGTTCCAAAGTCTCAGCAAATCAAATTGCTTATTGCTCTGCTTAATCTGAGCAGAAAATGCTCATTATCTATCTTAGTCAAGGTATTACTGTAATGAAACTATACACCAAGTTTCATCACTCTCACTTAATTAGAACTAAAGTTATAGTGTCCCAAAGCATCAACCAATCAAATTGTTTATCTCTGCTTACCCTAAGCGGAACGGACAGACAAACAGACAGACGGACGAACCCATTTTAATAGTTCCCTGCTTTCTTCGAAAGGCGGGGGACAATAAGCATGAACATTTACTCAATTCGAAGATCAACCAATCAAATTGTTTATCTCTGCTTACCATAAGCGGAACGGACAGACAGACAAACAGACAGACGGACGAACCCATTTTAATAGTTCCCTGCTTTCTTCGAAAGGCGGGGGACAATCAAAGTAGGAGAGTTATTGTTTTCCAAAGTCTCGACCAATCAAATTGCGTATCGCTCTGCTTACCCTGAGCAGAAAATGCTCATTATCAAACTTAGTCAAGGTATTACTGTAATGAAACTATACACCAAGTTTCATCAATCTCACTTAATTAGAACTAAAGTTATCGTGTCCCAAAGCATCAACCAATCAAATTGCTTATCTCTGCTTACCCTAAGCTGAAAATGCTCATCTTCGAACTCCATCAAGGCATTGACCTAATCAACACATACACCAAGTTTGAACATTCTAGCTCAATTAGGAAGAGAGTTATCGTGCCCCAAAGTATCAACCAATCAAATTGCTTATCTCTGCTTACCCTAAGCGGAAAATGCTCATCTTCGAACTCCATCAAGGCATTGACCTAATAAACACATACACCAAGTTTGAACATTCTAGCTCAATTAAAAGTTATCGTGTCCCAAAGCATCAACCAATCAAATTGCTTATCTCTGCTTACCCTAAGCGGAAAATGCTCATCTTCGAACTCCATCAAGGCATTGACCTAATCAACACATACACCAAGTTTGAACATTCTAGCCCAATTAGGAAGAGAGTTATCGTGTCCCAAAGCATCAACCAATCAAATTGCTTATCTCTGCTTACCCTAAGCGGAAAATGCTCATCTTCGAACTCCATCAAGGCATTGACCTAATAAACACATACACCAAGTTTGAACATTCTAGCTCAATTAGGAAGAGAGTTATTGTGTCCCAAAAAGTGTGACGGACAGACAGACGGACAGACAGACGGACAGACAGACAGACAGACAGACAGACGGACGAACCCATTTTAATAGTCCCCTGCTTTCTTCGAAAGGCGGGGGACAATAAGATGAAACAGAATTAAAATTTGCACTGAACAAATAAAGAAGTTGGATTATACATTGTCTTAATTTAGAAATAACATGAATAGAAGTTAGAAATTACATGAATAGAAGTTAGAAGTTAGAAATTAGACGATAGCATGTTAGAATTTTGAATCTAATATACCACCATAATAAATTATATGGTATTAGTTGATAACGGTTGATAATAATGATATAATATACTGGTGTCTATGAGAGAACACTCAACTGTCACCAGGATAACTAAGGTAGCATTAATCTTTATATTCATTAATGACACCCCTCAACCTCTTTAAATTCATTTTAATTCATGATGCATTAATTTCTTGTTTTACAGAAGTCTTTTTCTCTAGGAAAGCATGTCGATTGGTTGTAATAACAGCTTCAATACGAATGTTTAATGTTGAGATGCTGAGATGGCTATGCATTATGATTTAGTGGTACATGGAGGAACTTGGTACCTAGTTATATACAAAGTAATTAGAATATTTTTTGTTCCTGATAATGAATTAAATGTGGTTAAACATATAAATTAACAACTTGTTTTATTTTAAACAATAACATGGGGCAACAATTTGACACAAATTCAAAGAGTTTTTGTATAATGAATATTGGAAAGATTTAAAGCACTGTATATAAAAAGATAAAAATGAATGGAACTTTGGTTAGTTTATCTTCATCAGTATTTCTTCCATATGGCAGATAACGTGCTATAAATCTCCTTGAAATGCGGCCGTTTTTCAGGTTCATATTCCCAACATCTTTTCATGATTTCATATACTTCATCTGGTGTTCCTGCTGGCGCCGGCATTCGATAACCTAAAAAACAAAATATTAACTAATTAATTATTGAAACTATATATTTCTAAAAAGCTTGATCATATGCTCATTTGCCAGGCAGGATACGCCCACATTTTCGAGAGATGGATAGAGAACAAGCCAAAAGAAAGTGATTTTTCCTACAATCAAGAAACATAATTCAGGAAATTACAATTCGATATGCGCAAATATCGAAAGGAACCGAGATCTTTGGGTTATAAACTAACATTTAAAGTTTCATCAAAATAGGATTAAAATTGTGACCTTTATAGGGTCCACAACCTCGATATACCATATTTTTACGCTATTTGAGCACGAAGGGCGGCCATTTGTCTGTCAGTTTTGGGCTGATTTTCACGAAATTTGAACTCAGCCGTCCTTAGGGTGTAATGGTGATATAATAATACGTTTTCTTAAATCGGATAAAAATTATGACCTCTATAGGGCCCACAAGCTAAAAACGTGATTTTTCGTTCAATCAGAGGCCATAATTCAGGAAGTTACGGTCCGATATGCGCGAATATCGAATGGAACCACGATCTTTGGGATATAAACTTAAATTTCAAGTTTTAACAAAATCGGATAAAAATTGAGACCTCTATAGGGTCCACAACCTTGATATACCATATTTTTACGCTATTTGAGAACAAGGGGCGGCCATTTTGTCTGTCAGTTTTGGGCCGATCTTCACCAAATTCGAACTCAGCTGTCCTTAGGGTGTAACGGTGATAAAATAATACGTTTTTTTAAATCGGATAAAAATTATGACCTCTATAGGGTCCACAAGCTAAAAACGCAATTTTTCGTACAATCAGGGGCCATAATTCAGGAAGTTACAGTCTGATATGCGCGAATATCAAAAGGAACTGAGATCTTTGGGTTATTAACTTACATTTCAAGTTTCAACAAAATCGGATAAAAATTGAGACCTCTATAGGGTCCACAACCTTGATATACCATCTTTTTACGCCATTTGAGAACGAATGGCGGCCATTTTGTCTGTCAGTTTTGGGCCTATTTTCACGAAATTCGAACTCAGCCGTCCTTAGGGTGTAACGGTGATATAATAATATGTTTTTTTAAATCGAATAAAAATTATGACCTCTATAGGGTCCACAAGCTAAAAACATGATTTTCCGTACAATCAGGGGCCATAATTCAGGAAGTTACGTTCTGATATGCGCGAATATCGAAAGGAACCGAGATCTTTAGGTTATATGCATACATTTCAAGTTTAAACCAAATCGGATAAAAATAGTAATCTCTACAGTGTTCACAAGCTAAAAACGTGATTTTTCGTACAATCAGGGGCCAAAATCCATGAAGTTACAGTACGATACATGCCAATATCGAAAGGAACCGAGATCTTAGGGTGATAAACCTATATTTCAAGTTTCATTCATTGAAATCGGATGAAAATTGTGAACTGTAGACTGTTCACAAACAATTGTGGACGGACAGGGGCGACGACAATATACGTCCACATGAAAATGTGGGCGTATAAAAACAGCAGAGTATGTATCAACTATTGTGATTAAAATGTATAAGAACTCAGCATTTACCGTCTGTACCGTGGTAAATTTTAAATGGATTTCTTTGATTGTGGACAAACTATTGAATAATTGTTATTAAAAACTTGCCTATGCATTTGAAATCACCTCCAGTTGAATAAAATCTATTGCACAATTAAATATCCCCCCCCCCCTCCCCAAAGTTCTCTCTTGAAAAGTCAATGGTTTTGCTTGTATTTTCGACTGAGTAAATCACAACATTGCACATGTCACGTGATGAGCTAAACCATCGTAATATGTTGAAGGGGGGTAAAGGTTGACAAATTTTGACAATCACGTGTGTTGTACTTAAAGCAGCGCACAATATGTTTAACATTTACGACGGTTCAGACAGTAGATCTATAATCACTCTCTAAATGTGACAATGGTTAATAAGCTGATAATACCCATTACCATTACTTTGAGAATACGTAGCTATACTTGTCTTCAGAAACTGAAGATGGATTCTAAAGAATAAAATTGAGTAAACAAAATCTCTACATTGCCTAGATCTACTATCATATAAAATACAAATAGTAAAACATATACCTTCTTCTATTTTTTCTCTAGCTTGTGCATTAGTTGAACCAGTGTAAGGTGTTACACCAAATGAAAATATTTCCCACATTAAAATACTGTAACTCCAGATATCACATAATGTTGTATATATACCTGCAATGTTAGACATATATTTTATTAAAGATACATTATGGGAGATTAGATAAAGAGCTGGCAGTTGTCACTAAATTAGTTAAAAACTAGATAATGTAAAGGGAATTTGCTTAAAATTTCAGTCAAATTAATCTACTCTGAACTGAGAATTTAGCGATTGAATTTTAGGTCTAGGCTCGATCATCATTAATAAAGTCGGTACGATAAAAAACATAGTCTTGATTATCCATTTTTTAAATTTAATCATCCATGAGTGTTGAGCAGCAGATTGGATTCAAATCCAGTAAATATAGCAGGCTAGCGATGACATTGAGAGTTGATTATGGTCTGGATAAATCAATTAATAATTAATAATTTAGATAACATTTCAGGTCTAAAGAAAGACCTGCAATAGTAAGATTTAGCTCTTGCATAATGCATGTTTAATAATATAATATTCAACTACACTAAAGGCAGATTGGCTAGGCTTTATAATCTGTCTACTACTCAGATTAGCTATAGACTACATAATATAAACATGTGTTTCAACATTAAAGGGTCATTAGGTAAGAATAGATAAAGAGCTGACAGTTCTCGCTATAATAGTTAAAAAAAATAGATAATGAAAAGAGAATATGCTGAAAATTTCAGTCACAAAGTGCTTCACTCAACCTAGATATTAGCGATACAATATTAGGCTAGCGTCATTCGTCATTACTACCATTGTAATGATAATCCATTCTCCATTTTTAAGATTATTTCATCCACCACAAAACGTATTCAAATCCACTAAACATCCGATGGCATCAAGAGCTGATTATGGTCTTGGTAAGTTAATTAATAATTTAGGTAACATTTCAGGCCTCAAGAAAAACTTGCAATAGGCAGATTTAGCTCTTGCAAAATGCACGTTTAAGATCAACAGATTTGTATGCAAAAATTGTGAAAAATGTGAAAGATACAAATCGTGCACCTTTAATGAAATAAATGCAAATCTTTACAAAATATTCCAACCACATACCGAAATTAAGAGCTTCGGGTGCTGTCCATTTTATTGGAATTTGTTTCATTCCTTGAGATACATGGTACTCCCCTTCTTCTCTAGACATTCCAAAATCAGATATCTTTACTATATTCTGATCTCCCACTAAACAATTTCTGGCCGCCAAATCCCTGTAAAATATATCAAATCTAAACTGCATTTTGTGCAGAATCATTTCCTTGGACAGATCTCCCCCACCAAAAAAAAACATGATCTTGTTTATATACATGAAGTAACTCTGAAATCTATAGGTATAAATACATCAGTGAAAAAAAATAATAAGAGATAGTGAGATAGTAAGAGAAAAATGGGGTTTAACGTCAACCCAGCTCCATTTGGGACTAATACATGCTACAATCTTTATTTCAATAATTTGCTTGTGTGTAGGGGTCTTCAGCAGAGGGAGGAAACTGTAAGACCCCAAAAAGAAACAAGAGATAAATGAGTATAATATACCTGTGAATACAACCTTTACTCTCGAGGTAAGCCATACCACAAGCAGCATCAACACACATTTTAATTAACTGTTTCTTGTTTATTGATTGAGATTTTCCTTGTTTACGTAAGAATGTAAGTAATGCACCACCTGTAAAATTCAAACAAATTCATATTTAGTGACAGACTTTCCACCCATTTTATACACAAGACCACCTTGAATTTAGGTATATAAAATGTCATAGTCAATGCCAATACATTATAACAAATTAATTGCCAATTTAACAGAAGCCAGCAATGTGCTTGGTGTTGATCAAGTCATAATTTTTCCATATTCTATTTCCTGAGTTTTTGTACTTGCTGTTGCAACGTTAAAGGGGCATTATGGGAGATTAGATAAAGAGCTGGCAGTTCTCACTATAATAGTTAAGATAGGTTGCCAGGCAATGAAACATACGCCCACAGCAGCTCTTGCATAATGTATGTTTAAGTTTGAACACTCGACTTATAATTTTCAAAAAAAATTTTAATTCATTAATTATATATCAAGCAGTTTGAAAATATGTTGATCTTTATTTTCAACAAAGAGAAGATCTTGAAATAATTAAAGATAGGTTGCCGGGCAACGAAACATACGCCCACAGCAGCTAAATCGATGGCAATATACGACCACATTTCAATGTGGGCGTATAAAAATACTATTAACAGACTTCACCTGAAACAAATTCCATAACAATCATGACAGGTTGTCTTGAGGCAGCTATTCCTATAAACTCTACAATATTTGGATGATCATATTGTTTTAATATTCGGCCTTCTTGTAAAAACTTTTTCCGCTGATCTTCTGACAATGTGTCTTTACAGGTTTTAACAGCCACAACATGATCCCCACGAAATATACCTTTATAAACCTCTCCGAAATTACCCTAAAATAGGAAATCACAATCATATAAATGATCAGTCAATTGAAATGTTTGAAAAAAAAAATTGAAACATATATTATCTTAAAACTGTAACCATGTCTCCAAATCATTTGATTGTAAAACAACTCATATACTTTGAAATGTCTTCATTGTTAAGCACCCGACCATTCAGGGTTGTTTATCATTCAGTAAAAGGAAAATCTAGTAAACATAAAAAAGTGATATGGAATTCTTATTTAAAGGTACTGATTGAAATAACATTGCCAAAGGCAAGACAAATATGCCTCAGATCTTTACCCAACAAGTTTGTCATGTAAAAAGTCCATGATCTGACTGTAATACCAGTATTTCAATGTCAAGATTAATTTTTAATTTCTACATGTAAGTATTCATTAAGGTGAACTAAATGATATAGACAGCTATATACTTACATTGCCTATTTTCATTTCTAATTGAATATCATCATTAACAAGTTCCCATGCTTCACGTTTAATAGGATTACGTAAAATAGCTTGCGATTTAGTCGTTACAGGAGTAGCAATACTATGTTGATATCTTATTAACTCTGATATCGTTCTAAAAGCCTGTCCTTCAAATCGCCATGCACCCTTAAAAAATGAATTTCAAAATCATCATTGACATTCAGTGAATACAGGCATTCTAGTGTTGATAACATTTCAATAAAAACTACTAAAAGCTTTTGAATTACTAATACTACATTTACATTGAATAATTTCCTGTTTATTTTTCAATTAATTACAGCTGTACTTCATTACCATATGTGACCCGTCATGACACAATGAGTCGCAATGAGGAAATTTTGAAAATTGACACTCAACGGCTATCTATATCTGATCAGAATTAAGTTGTCTTCAGGGCTGTCGGTAATTTTTCACAGTTGATTAGCAGCACTGCTAATCAAAAAGTCCAATTTTGCCAAATTTGATTATCAAATTTAAAAATTGATTAGCACAGTTTTTCATAAAACACCTAAATATCAAGATATTATTTCAATTCATAACAAATGATTAGATTTCATTCTTCGATTTTTTTTAGCACTGCCACATGAAGTTGTGACAGTTTGTGAACGTAATGTAGACTTTTGGTTAGCTCTTATTTCTGAAGCCAATTCTTGTCAGTGACTTCCGAAGCCCACTCATTTTAATTGTTATTTCTTCGTTACGTTAGAAATATTTGTTAGAAAACAATTCCGTCTGCTTTTTATCATGTATTACTATTTTGTTCAATCGGACACACGCGATTTAAACAATAATATTTTACGGGAATTCTTACTTTGATTTATCATTTTACAATACGTTATAATGTATTTATTTTTTTATATTTTATTTACAATACGTGGGGGATACATTGGATTTACTTCTTTCAAAATGAATACTGATATAATTACTTGAAATTAACATGTCTCGCAAAGTGAGTGATACTACTTGATTCCTTATATCCGGTTTAATAGTCCATATTCATAGAGTTATCTCCCTGTATTATATAGTATAATGAATTGTGTCTGGGTAGTTTGAGAAGAAAATGTCACACAGAGAATTCAGTTTTGTTTATAAAATTTTATAGCTTGGTCGACCGGGAGACATTCCTCAAGGGGTCAATCACTTTGAATTGCACATGACGTCAGAAGTTTTGGACCAAACCCGAATTTTTGGACCAAACCCAACCCTAATCCTAACCCTAGCATGCGGTGCGTGTCAGTGTCGCTAAAAATAAACCATCATCTCGTTTATCAACGCGAGATTTTGTCAATTCACCTTGACCGGTGTTGTGAGGAATGTCTCCCTTGTGCAAAATTTAAATTTTATTTGACATTTTATACACGTTGAAAGTCTTCAAAATGAGAATAATCTTTGTGTCAATATCCAAAATGACAGGTATATTATTGATTCGCAGTTACTGCGAATCAAAAACGTTAGATTTTAATTTTTGATTAGCAATGGACAAAATATGTATCGCAAATTGTGCTGCGATACTGGTTGTCGGCAGCCCTGGAAGTCTTCTTTCACTTCTCATTGCATGTAGATAATATTGCCAAAATCTAATTTCTATTGTCCGCTTGAGTCTCGATGTGGCAACAGAACCATAATGCTTTGCACGCGTTGTCTGCGCCTATCAGCAAACGAGTCGTGTTGGCAGCATAGCAACAAGCGGAGTTTGTTTACATTTTTAGGGGTTTTAAAACCCTTTTGTATTCCTTCAAAATGAATTCAACGGCAATACTTTGGTCATATTTATAAACTAGAGATTCTCTGCATTACAACGATGCCAAGTATTTTGCAACAGGATTGACCAGTCGTCCCGCTGCAAGCAGAGAAAAATATCTAATTTCGCTGAGAATATTCCAAAAAAGACAGATTTAAGAATACGGTACTCTTACAAAACGTCCAAATAAAGGTGTTTTAAAATGTTTTATTGCTATTTTGATTCGATAGATAGTATATTTATAGACTTATTTTTGTGAAAATCTCAATTTCGATCAAAATCAATATTTTTAATTATTTTGTCTTTATCTCATTATTGGATCGCACACATTCCGACTCATTTTGCCATGGCCGGTCACATATGGTCTTCAACTTATAATGTCAATTACAAACACTATATACTGCTAGGTAAACTTCATCTTGAACACACATAGTATATAACAATACCAACCTCAGTGCCTTGTATTATGAAATGTTTATGACCCTCCCAAAACACAGATAACACATGTTGTACTTCATTAGTCTTTTTATTCTTACTTTCGCGTATCAAATAATCACCATTATTAACTAAAAGTCTTTGCACTTCCTCGCGTGGCAATACACCATGAAAACACTCATCATCTTGTAAACGTGCTGGTAAATTTTCTAAACTCTGTAAATATTATTAAAATATGAAAGGATACCGTTACAATTTGACTCTTCATGGCCTCAAAACAGGCACACTTGTTAAGACTGTGCTTTTCAAATAATGCTTATAAAACTTGAAAAATTTTACTGTGAGAATTTCTTGAAAAAGTGAAAGATATAATTAATCATTTCAAAAATATTGTTCATTAACCAGTTGTCATTATAAGCTTTAATATAACGATAAGAAAAACATATCTTCTCTTTGCTATCAACAATTAAGAATCAAGCTTGTATATGTATACTTTAGAAAAGTTGTCTTTAATTTTAATGCAGTTAATTACACTTTTGTCTTTTATTCCATGTTTTACAAATGTGGTTTACCATCCACTCAACACAAACTGTGTAATTTTTAGACCAACATACAGTATATTTTTATTTCAATAATTCACTTGCATGCAGGGTCTTTAGAAGTGAGAACCTGAGGAAAAATACGAGATTGGGCAGATGACCCAGGATCGAAACCAAAGAAATACATTAATGTCAGACACCTCTGGAAAGGAATTTGTAAACTTACCAATAAACCAGTAGCATTTTCAGGAAATCTAGAGGGTGATACTGGTAATGATGTAGATCCGTTTGAAGATGTTTCCGCATTTAATTCATGTTGCTCATAACTGTCTACTTGTTTTAATTTCTTTTTAGATGAATCAGAGTTATTATCTAAACTATATGCTTGAGTGTCACTTTGTTTACGGAAATAGTTCAAAAATGTTTTCTTTTTACTCTGCGAGGAAGTTGATAATGTTGAACTGGTATCCTGATGAAAAAAATAATAATAAATTCAATTACAATATAACATTTGATATGTTCAGTCTTTTAAAAATTGTTTTTCAAAAAGTTTAGTGGGTTCTGGCCCACTATATATTGCTGTAAGTAAGTCAGTGCTTAGTTTTCTAGTATTGAGGGGAATTTTATCATTATTCTCAACATGATATCAAATTATTTGTAAAAGTTATAATTCAGCATGATCAAATCAGGCTGACATTTTCGAACAAAATTTCACATTATTACTCCAATTCAAAAGCAGTTTTCAATTTTCAGGAAATCCAAAAACACTTTGTTTAAGTTTAACACATGACAATTATATGGAACCCTTGTCGAACCGTCGCCAGAAATAAACTTTTAAGTAACTTATATTCCATATAATTGTGTCATATGTTATTCTAATTCAGTTACTAATAGCTGCTTAAACAATTTACTTTCATAAGTTGCTCTCATTTCTGAGAAACAGATGTTTAAAGTTCAAAATCTGTGAGTCAATATAGGAGATCAAGATAGGTTGCTATACATGGATCAAAACTGGGAATTTTAAGGTTTAGACCAGTCTGGTGAAAGCAATAATGTCTCGTTTAATATACTGTATGCGAAACACACGACTGTCAGTGACATGAGAACTTTGCTGAGAAACATCAAAATATAATATTTACAGAAAATTTTAATATAATCCATATATCATAATGCTATTGGTTATTAAATGTGGTTATTTTACAAGTCACGCCAAAGCTTTGCTCAGCACCCTTTACCAGTACTACAACGATCATTCTGCATGCCTCTATATATATCATCATTGGCAGATGTTTAAATATAAAAAAATATGGAAGACTTTTCAGTCAGTTTTAAATTAAACAAGCCAACATCGAGGCTGATGTCCCCCGCCGAAATCCCGAAATAGATAGATGACACATATCAATTAATTGCACGTTTATCTTTTTCAAAAGTATCGAGCAATCAAACTGATTATCAACTATACACTAAGTTTCATCACTCTTTATCAGATAGAATCAACCTAACGAACATCAACATCAAGTTTAAACATTCTACCACAATTAAAAGCAGAGTTATTATGTTCCAAAGTATTGACCAATCAATTGGTTATTGCTCTGCTTACCCTCAGGAGAAAATGTTCATTATTGAAATTAGTCGTTGTATTGCTGTGATGAAACTATACACCAAGTTTCATCACTCTCACTTAATTAGAACTAAAGTTATCGTGTCCCAAAGCATCAACCAATCAACTTGCTTATCTCTGCTTACCCTAAGCAGAAAATGCTCATCTTCGAATTCCATCAAGGCATCGACATAATAAAAACCTACACCAAGTTTGACAAGGCATTGACCTAATAAACACATACACCAAGTTTGAACATTCTAGCTAAATTAAAAGTTATCGTGTCCCAAAGCATCAACCAATCAAATTGCTTATCTCTGCTTACCCTAAGCGGAAAATGCTCATCTTCGAACTCCATCAAGGCATTGACCTAATCAACACATACACCAAGTTTGAACATTCTAGCCCAATTAGGAAGAGAGTTATCGTGTCCCAAAGCATCAACCAATCAAATTGCTTATCTCTGCTTACCCTAAGCGGAAAATGCTCATCTTCGAACTCCATCAAGGCATTGACCTAATAAACACATACACCAAGTTTGAACATTCTAGCTCAATTAGGAAGAGAGTTATTGTGTCCCAAAAAGTGTGACGGACAGACAGACGGACAGACAGACGGACGAACCCATTTTAATAGTCCCCTGCTTTCTTCGAAAGGCGGGGGACAAAAAAAATTATATTTCCATCTAATATATAAATTATGCCTACATAATTACAATTCCCAGAGTACTGAAGTAAATCTACTGATCATAAGGTGAAACATACAGAATATGAGTGTACATCACACCGTTACACACAATCCTACATAACTCTATTTCTAAATATGCAACATGGAAATAAAATATATTTCAAACACTGTTAAATTTTCTAAATAATCATTTATGCCATCTAGAATTTTAAACATTTATCAGTAATTGTTTGATGTCATCTAAATTTAAGGGAAAAATAATCATTTAATGATTCAATAAATATACAAAGTGTATATCTAGAATGTTAAAATTTTCTATAAGGAACTATATCCACACATGACAAGGAAAATCACTCTAGTTTTCTTCAAGTTCCCGTCACCACACCCACCATTTTTTTACATCAAGCATTTACACAAATAACTTCTAAAGGATAGATTGTGGCATATTGCCAAGACAGAATGGTGCATAAAAATTCCAAATAAGCATAAGGAAGGAATCTATATATAAAATATGTCTTTTCTGGCAGTGGAATTCTCTAATTAGGATTAAGACATGGAATTCATCATAGGATACAAGTACAAACAAAGATAGCTTGTCAGACATGGTAACACACAACCATGGTAACACACAACCACCTATAATTTCATGGTCAGGTGTTTAGATAAATGGCTTGAAATAACTTGAAATGTAAATGATCAAGATTCAAATTTTGAGAAAAGCGGTCAATAGGCTAAGGCTACACAAAATAAATGTCTTGTTTCTCGGGCAACTGACAGCTGAAACTGTAGGGGGGGAGGGCGGTTTATTTTTTTTTTTTACCTCATTTCTGGCTAGAGGATGGTGCAAAATAAAATTTTGCTATTGTTGAAAATTGTTGGGGCGGGAGGGCGGCCTTGTATTTTTTTTTTTTTAATGAGAAAGTCATTACTTGTCTACAGTTTTGCTTTCAGTTATATATTATACATACTTAGAACATAAACCCAAAAATCAAGTCTACTCAAACACTGAACACTGACTGTAAGGAGAATAATTTTCCATATTTAATTCACGTAATGTAGCTTACTAATGGTAATGGTGACAACCATAATTGAAATTGGTTTAAAATAAAATTCCGTACGACTATTAATAGCCGTCCATAATAACGACAATATTTTAAAGGGTAAGACTCTGTCAGCATGTGTATCAAAAATAATCATCACGGTAAACGACACTTAGATCTAAATCTAGTATCGCTGGTTTATAATGATTGACCTAATTCCAACCAATGCATGTCACGTGTCATCGGGATTCGGGAAATGACCGTTTCTCAGGATATTCGGTGTGTTTCTCAGGATATTCGGTGTTCTATCTGGGGTTTATATCGAATGACTATTTAAATTTAACTAACAACTGGTCAGTAAAACCATCAAATGTGTAATCCAATTATTATTTTCCGGATTATCAAAACTACCGTTAAATGTGCTAATGACCCAGATTCTGACTAAGGTATGGTGACTATATATCGTATTCGTAGCCACAAGTTATAATAATTAACCTGTTCTACGATTCATTGTTTTATAAGTAGGATTTTTTCAAACATGGACCGACTGAAGCCGGCAATAATGAGCCGATTAAGATCGAATGATTGAAATACAATGCACTGTTGTCAATGACTTTCGGTGTTTAACACGAATCAAATTCTAGTTCACAAGGGGAGGTAATTAAAATCACGTGATACAAAAATGGAGGTTCTTTCGATATCAATAAAAAAGACCCGTAAATGAGCGTTTACATCTGAATCAGTTTAATACATTTGAATGGATATTCACGTATGGGGCATGTAGATACATGCGGCATATTCTTTTTATGACTTGCTTATCGATGTTCGGGCGGGCGTTACATATTTTTTATTTTTCATCAAGACTAATAAATAGGCCGCACGCGCAACCAATTTTGCGTGCGGGCGGTGCCCGAGAAACAACTTATTTTATTTGTGTTGCCTAATATCCTGTAAAAAACAATGATAGATCAGGAACAATAACTCTGGGTGCAATTTTTTGAAACCCTCAAATTCGACAGGAATTATCTATAGCTCAAAACTTACTATTCTAAGAATTTGTTGAAAACAGGGCAAAAACTTAATTCTGTAGATTGAGTGTGAGTATTGAGTACTGTTATTAAAGTTTAGAAAGAATCACACTACTATTCCTAAAAATTGGCTCCAAAAAAAAAAATCAAATTTGATGTACACCATCTTTACCCCAATACAAACTATACCAGAAAATTTGTTGAAAATCAATAATGAAGCATACTCTGTAAATTGAGTTTGAATATACATACTATCGTATACTATTAGGGACCATCTTTATTCCAATACTAATTATTCCTGGAATTTGATCTAAATCAGTGATGAATTGAACTGTGTAGAGGGACAACAAGTGTTTGGACAGTTTGACATAGGCAACAACAATATATGACCACATTAATTTGTTTGCGAATAGCCAAATAAAGCAAATGGGATGGAGTCTGTTGATAATTGAGTGAATGTGACAAACAGTGAAATCTATATAACGATAACTAGCACACTCCACTATATACAGTTCACCATATATGGAAATATAAATAACAATTACCTTTAAAGGAATCTAATATAGTATAAATAAATAGATATAAATCATTTTATTGAATGTACAAGATTTATATCAACAATAGGGTTTTAAAGGGAGAGCATGAGCAGGGAATTGTAGATGAGTTTATTATATTCTAGACTAGGACTGGCAGAAAATATCAATATTGCCCATAATCGTCAATAAAGTGTTTTGAAGATCGATGATCGATACAGATTTAAAATATAAAAAATCGTGCAATTATAGGTAATAGTGCTCCTATGGCTAGTCAGATAATAATAGGTAGTCACTTGTGAGAAGAAATCCATAAAGATAATGCTTATCACAGTATTCTTTGTAACGCGTGTTTGGGCTAGCTGAGTAACTGTAATTAAACAGAAAAGTCATTCAACACACACGTTTTGTTTTTCATGTGAGACCCCAGCGTAACAGAGTAAAAATACCACCGCTAAGAATTGTCGGCCACTTATGAAGAGAGCAAATAGTTCCTCATGAAGTATTGTATTGTCGAATAATGAAATTATATAGATCTCATATTGACTAAGAGACAAAAACATGAATTAAGCCACTATACAAGGCGTTCTGTGCACATGAGATCGATTATTAATAGGCAGATGGTCGTCGATTAACAATACTTGAAACCAGTATCGATTGCAGGGCCTAAAAAACTTTTGGACACTATGTATAAAATCAAATTCATCAATTCGTGACAAGCGAATATGAGAAATATTCAATATTGGAAGTTCTCACTGCTTTTGAGTTTGTAAACAATAGCTATTAATAGATCGATAAGCAATTGAGACTAGCCTTGCTTACTTGGGACTCACTTGGCATTAAAAACTAACATAAGATTAACCAGTCCCAGAAATATACTTGAGATTCATACAAAGACATTGGAATTAGCCGATAGTTATAGATATCCATTACTTCATTTAATTAGTTAACATAATAATGTTTTTCAAATTGTCATAAGAACATATTCTCGATCATTATTTTCAAATAAACAAAACTGAAATGTGCATGCTCACACTTTCACTTTATGATTTTTCTGAAATGCAGTTTTATCAATCAGAAAAATCAATTACCATTTGGTTTAAGAGAATATCTATAAATTCAAGGGTTTGGTTCATTTTCAGCTTTGATCTTGCAGCAAAACAACAATAAATTCTATAAGCATTCTTACATTATTCTAAATATTTTCAAGATTTCTAGCTACAGCCGTGAAACAGATTGTGCGTGCACACATAAATAGTTAGTGGATGTCATGACAAAATTGTGCATACATTTAAAAACCCAGTATATATGGCTTTCTTTTATCAGACTGGTATTATATATTAATTACCTACATAAACACAACAATTACAATATCTACATCATTCTCTAGCTAGGTAAATGAGGTATACATTCATCACAGTTAAGCTTACAGAAGCCAACTCAATTTACATGTACCATAAACCACTATATAACAAATTCTTACCTTATAAAATGACTAAACAAAACCAAGAAAAATACAGAGTTACTTTTAACAATAAGCTTATTATACACTATACACTGGCATTGTCTTAAAATTTGAATTAGCAGGAAACAACATAAGTAAGTAATTACTCAAAATGCAAATATTTTGCAACTAAGCTAAATTTAATGATATTTAATATATTTCCATTTATGTTAGTCATTCTGGTTAATATAGATGTAATTAGTGGTACTTACGAGGTCCCCATTCTCTAGAAGATTAGACACTGGTGGAGGGTTACTGTCCCCTAAATCATCTAGAGGTTTAGATATAGTTTCAAATATACATTGTAACTTCTGTAAATTGGATTCTGTTTCTGCCATTTCTTTTTCTAAAATTATGAATTCTTTTTTCTTTTCAGCAAATCTGTGTTATAAAGAAAAAGAACAAACTAGACTATTGAATAAATGGACATGTATATTACTGATATTCAACGGTTTGAAAGTCGTGAATGATATAGGATTGGAATCCCTTCCAAACTACAATATTGTATCTTCTTTGATTGGCATTTAGTAATTGAACATATTAACACAAGGTACAATTTTATGGATACACAATTACTGGGTTTAATACTAAGCAACGTTTCGACGAGGATACTCTCGTCTTTATTTGCTTGATAAAGACGAGAGTATCCTCGTCGAAACGTTGCTTAGTATTAAACTCAGTAATTGTGTATCCATAAAATTGTACCTTGTGGTACAATATTGTAAAAGTTGAATTTTTAATAGAAATATCAGCCCAAAACTGGTTTAATTCCATTCAGTATTTACAAAAATATGATGTAGTAGAATTCCATTGATCAATACTGCCCCTTTATGGTACATTTGACATTATCCACCTAATTTAAGAACTTGTTAACTTTGATAATTTCTTCAAGTAAACCGGGATGCCACTATACATTTTAGGTAAAATTCTCAAACCAAGATTAAGTAATTTCTAATGCCATGATTATTGAACACTTCTATCCCCAACAAACCAACAGTGAGGCTGATGTTCCCCACCGAAATCCCAAAATAAATAGATGACACATATTAATTAATCATACATTTATTTTTTTCAAAAGTATCATGCAATCAAACTGATTACCAACTATACACTAAGTTTCATCACTCTATCAAATAGAATCAAAGTTATCTTGTCCCAAAGAAACGACCAATGAAATTGCTTAGCTCTGCTTAGCTTTAGCTTGAAATGTTAATCATTGAACTCAGTCAAGACATTCACCTAAAGAAAATCTACACCAATAAACGCCTACACCAAGTTTGAACATTCTACCTCCATTAGAAGGAGAGTTATTGTGTTCCAAAGTCTCAACCCGTCAAATTGCTTAATGCTCTGCTTACCCTGAGCAGAAAATGCTCATTATTGAACTTAATCAAGGTATTGATGTGATAAAACTATACACCAAGTTTCCTCAGTCTCACTTAATTGGAACTAAAGTTATCACATCCCAAAGCATCAACCAATCAAATTGCTTATTTCTGCTTACCCTAAGCAGAAAATTCTCATCTTCGAACTCCATGGCATTCACCTAATAAACATCTACGCCAAGTGTGAACATTCTAACTAACTTATAATGAGAGTAATTGTGTTCCAAAGTCTCGACCAATCAAATTGCCTACCGCTCTGCTTACCCTAGGCAGAAATTGGTCAGGCTCGACGGACAATTTAATGTGCTTTGTATTGATGTAATAAAACTATACACCAAATTTCATCACTCTCACTTAATTAAAACTAAAGTTATCGTGTCCCAAAGCATCAACAAATCAAATTGCTTATCTCTGCTTACCCTAAGCAAAAAATGCTCATCTTCGAACTCCATCAAGGCATTGACATAATAAACACCTACACCAAGTTGAACATTCTAGCTCAATTAGAAGGAGAGTTATTGTGTCCCAGAAAGTGTGACGGACAGACAGACGAACCCATTTTAATAGTCCCCTGCTTTCTTCGAAAGGCGGGGGACAATAAGAAATAAAATACTTACTCAGCCACCACTTCTGCTGTTTTCCCAACTGCTAGACTTGTTTCTAATCTATTTAATTCAACTGAAAGGCTTTTATGTCGTGTGGTTTTGATTTCTAAACTTTTCTGACATTCATTCATTTGATTTGATAACTGTGTTTTTCTAAAACATAATATTCAGGTATCTGAGCTTACAATTCAATAAATATTCCCATATAACACAAATGGTATCTTTACCCATTGTCAACACAGAGCAATGCCTTGATTACAGAACTTGATTACTTTGAGCCTCCTTTCAAATGCATTACAACAATATATCCGAAACACATGTGTTTTACTTGCAATGTAAACAAAGCAAGGGTGAAATATTCGAAGTAGACTTTCAAAATGTTTCTACACCCAAAAGTTGACCTTGAGAATTGATGGATGACACATGAATAAGTAAACTGGTAAATCAATTACCAAAACAGAAATATACAAGCGAAAAAGGCTATGAGTGCCACCATCTCAATGAATTAGAACTATTTTGCGGACTTGGTCAATGAAAGTATTTTTTAAATAGATTTTCAGAGCATGTACATGATTCCAAGATATAATCCTGATCAATATTAGCTAGGTTTTTTTTTTGTTTTTTTTAAAATAAATTTGTGCAGGTAGTAATTTTAAAATGTACATCCTTTGTGTTCATGTTAATATGTGTCTGTCATAGAGCTAGTTATTGACATTGCAAGTCTTGTATTACTCTTTACTTCACATCTATCAACTCTTTTTTTTCTTTTTTCACAACCCCCACCACCATCAAGTGAAAGTTTGTGGTCTAAGGGGAGATAATATGAAGTTGGGAACATGTCTAATGAGTTATCTCCCCTTATATTTTTTTTCTCAGAAACACACATTGTTTATATTCGCCCAATTTATTCTATTTCAGAATATTAACAGATACTTGAAAATATAATTATCTTTAAATTGATAATAACAAAATAACAGATACTTGAAAATATGATTATCTTTAAATTGATAATAACAAAACAGTACAAAAATAAAGAAAAACACATGTAATACCTCTGTTGTAATGGTTCAATAGTGACATCATCTACTTCCAATATGCCTGGTTGTAACGAAACACTAAAACTATCGATCAACCGCTCATCGAATTCAAAAGTATTACTCTGAATAGGTTCTGACCTGAAATGTGAACAAAAAAAACGTAAAATCAATATTAATTTTTTTAGAATCAGAGTAAAAAACTGCCTACACTCTTATAAAATACACATTCCTGCAATTTCTGTCAAATACTGTTAAATTGATCCTTAATTCTAAATAAGTGAGAATTATTTGTTTCTTGGTTATAAAGATAGGTTGCCAGGCAATAAAACATACATTCACAGCAGCTAAGTCATCAGGGCAGCATATTCATAAAACACTAAAATCAGATTTTGTTTGGCTTCTAGTTCTGTCCCATGCTAACATTTAGAATACAAACCATTTAATATCATGGATTTAGTTGTTATCAAAAATCATTAAAAATCAATTTACTTTGGCCTGTAGAGTATCCGCAAGATTTTTCGAAGTACATGTAATCAAGGGCCATAACTCTGGTCTTCTGCACATCCACCAAATTTTATATAAGTGATCAAGGGCCATAATGCTGGCAATAATTATCGGATAAATTCAAAGTCAATCGGACATTAACTTTAGCCTCTAGAGCGTCCACTAGATATTTCAAAGTGACGGAGGCGACGACAATATACAACCACATTTCAATGTGGGTGTGTAAAGATAGGTTGCCAGGCAAAGAAACATACGCCCACAGCATCTAAATCGTCCAGGCAATCAACAAGAGTTGTCGAATATTTTTACTTTTGTCGGTAATGAAACATTTATAATACACGAAAATCTGAATAAGAGTAAGAATTTGTTTGGCCCATGCTAACATTTAATATACAAAACATTTAATATCATGGATTTAGCTGTTCAAGTTATCAAAAATCATTATAAACAAGCCAACAGGCTGATGTCCCCCGGCGAAATCTCAAAATAAATAGATGACACATATTAATTAATCGCACATTTATTTTTTCAAAAGTATCGAGCAATCAAACTATTCACTAAGTTTCATCACTCTCTATCAGATAGAATCAAGATTATCACTTCGAAATGTTAATCATTGAACTCCGTCAAGACCTAATGAACATCTACATCAAGTTTAAACATTCTACCTCAATTAAAAGCAGACTTGTTATGTTCCAAAGTCTTGACAAATCAAATTGCTTATCGCTCCTTAGCCTAAGCAGAAAATTCTCACCATTGAACTTAGTCAAGGTAATGATATAACGAATCTATATTTGGAGTTTCATCGCTCTCACTTCATTATGACCAAAGTTATCGTGCCCCAAAGCATCAATCAATCAGATTGCTTATCCCGGCTTACCGTAAGCAGACAATGTTCATCATCGAACTCAATTAAGGTATTCACCTAATGAACGCCTACACCAAGTTTGAACATTCTACCTCAATTAGAAGGAGAGTTATTGTGTTCCAAAGTTTCAACCAATCAAATTGCTTATCGCTCAGCTTACCCTGAGCAGAAAATGTTCATTACCGAACTTAGTCAAGGTACTGATGGAATAAAGCTATACACCAAGTGTCCTC